TTTCCGGGGGTAATAATTCCTTCAAAAAACAATTTGGTCACTCAATCCACGACTGTTTGTGGGACACTGCTGTGTGCAATTGGTTGCCGCATTTGCCTCACAAAATATATAGTCAATTCACTCTACAGTATATTCTATGAAGCTCTCGAAGACTATATCAAATGCAAGGATTAATATTATTAAGACTGCAGGATTTTGCAATATGCAAATTTTGCTTTTTGCATACAAAACAATAGATCTACTTTACAGAAATGACCTATGTTGCTCTTTAAGTAATTGATAAAGTGCCACATAAAAGATTATTATCTAAAATGCACGGGGACATTGAAGGTAATACTTAGGTAATACTGAGTTATGGATAGGATAGGAAATTGTTTGAAAGGTAGTTCTGCGGTAAAAAGTGTCATTGTCTGATTTACAAGCAGTGACAAGAGGTGGTCGCCTTAAAATCAGAACGAAAACAGTCAGAACCCAAATCAGGAAGTACTTCTTCACACAGAGGTTGTGAAGTTGGGGAATTTCTCTGCCTCAGAATTTGCTGTAAAGTTTAGTGACTGAATTTGCATATTTGTAGTAGAGGAATTAAAAGACATAACAAAGACATGGAGCATTGGAATTAAAAGATCTGACAAAATCTAATAAGATGGTGGAACAAGCTCTAAGGGCTAAATCGTCTTCTTCTGTTTCCTGACAATGCTAACTCACGCTGGTATAAGGTTCCAGCAGGAGTCAGACCCGAATTGGTGTTGAGCATCGCCCAATCCCAGCACACGCCCTTGGGGGAGCAGTAGCAAGTGAGGTCACTGAACAGTCATGAGGAACAGACGGTATAGCTGATCATATTCTTGTCTAGGGCACTGAGGACAACTGTCATGGTCCAAATACTGCGGTGCTTGAGATCAAGTCACTCAGCACACATAGGGTAGTTGATAACTCTCCTGTCTATTGGTAAGAGAATTGTGGTTCAGTAGCCATGCCAAAATACACATGAGCCAAGTTGACAGTGGAAAGTTAGAGCCAAGTGGGATTAATAAATGTGTCCTGATGCTGGGGATGTGGAAGTGCATAATAATCCTGATTATGAGATTATTCAGTCTCGTGGAGCTATTGAGTGCTTTGCAATTTAGTCTGAAAATGATGACGGAGATGGGTTTAAATTGAGCCCATCATGAATACTCTTGGGATTTGGGATAGAAGGAATGAGTTACATTAGAGGAATAAATAGATTAATGTTGCTAGCATTAGTGGAAGAACCAGGTGCTGCCAGTGTAGAGCAATGAATAATTCAATACTCTATTGTACACTGGCTGCAAAAACATCATTGAGACAAGAAAGAGGATGAAGCTGCATAGCAACATCTAAACACTATAACCCGCATGAACCCAACCACCTGCTCCCTCAACCCCATCCCTACCCCTCTCCTTACCTCCCAGCTTCACCTCTTTGCCCCTCTACTCACAGACTGGTACCATTCCCACCCTTTAAAAACGGCCGACATCACTCCTATCCTTAAAAAGCCCTCCCGGACCTACTCCTGCACTCAAGCTACTGCCCCATCTCCAACCTCCCTTTCCTCTCCAAGGTCCTGGAACGAGTCGTTGCTCGTTCCAGGTTAGGGTTAATTAGGCGAAACCTTGGGCAAGTTTCCTTACTTCACCTGCCTGATAATAATCCCTCAAGAAAAAAAATAATTTGGGCATTCAATCAACGACTGTTTGTGGGACACTGCTGTGCACAATTGGCCTCCGTGTATCACCCACAAAATATACAGTCAATTCACTTTACAGTATATTCTGTGAAGCGCTTTGAGACGTCTCGAAGACGTGAAAAGCGCTATATCAAATGCAAGGATTATTAGTAGTATTTCTAGTTTTCAGACTTACAATCATGCAAAAAATGTTGTGACACCGCTGAAGTTTTTTTTNCATTGTCGTTAAAGAAGCAGTTTTAAAAATATTTACAATACCAGGACAGTTCAATATTAATATTATTTCACTCACTTGCAGTGGTGATGTGGAATAGAATTCCTAATGATGCAATTCTACTACTTTTTTAAAAAATGCTGATCTAACTTTCATAAACCCTTTCCAATTCATTTCTTAAAAAGATTGTCAAGTTCAAAAGAGGACATGCCTATTTCGACTACATTTTGTACAATATCACATTATCATGTTTCTCGGGGATTGGATACCCTTCAGGGTCTGCATTGCAGATCTGCTAAAACTTACTATTTTGTTCGTTGAAATTTTTGCCATTCATCACCTTTTTCCTTCTCCTGCAGAAGGGCTATCTCTGCAACATTGTCTGCCTCTGCCCCTGCCTCTCTGCTTCATCGATGCCTTTGCCATCTCAACTTGGATTTTTTAACCCACTGCTCACCAGCCTCCCCAGCTCTGCCCTCCATAAGCTTCAGATCATCCATAACTCCACAGCCCACATTTTATACTTACGTTTGATATGGCATTTTTCACATTGGATGGACATGTAAAATGTAGTGATTGTGTATTTGTAGGCAAATATTTTCTCCTGTACTAGGCTTCATGAACCCACCTCTTCCAACTCTACTCTATCCTCCTTCACTTGGTGAGCTTCAAGACACTTTGCCCCCACCTCCTAGAGCTATCTTCCATAAACCCACTGGTTTACCCCCTACGTCTGGCATCTTACCCCGTTTTGAAATCTTGTTTAAAGATCAATCTCTGACTGCGCTTTCAACCTCTCACTTACCCCTGCTATTTCCCTCCCTACTTGGGCTTCCACTTTGAAATATCCATCCCTAGGTGAATGGCACGATATAAATCCAAATTGTTGTTAAAGTATAATTACGTGAATTACAGTTGCCCTTGTAAGCATCACTGTGGAGTCCTGTAGCTCAGTGCTTAGAGCACTTGCCTCGCAAACAAGAGACCTGGGTTTGATTTCCGAGTAGGGCAAAATGTTGAGCAAGTTTCCTGACTCCGAACGCCTGTTTACCTAGCAGTAAGTAGGAATCCAGTTGTTAGTCAATTGGTGGATCGCTTTTCCTGAGACGTCTCGAAAACGTAATAAGGCGCTTATTTTTTTAAAAAAGTTCAAAATATAATTTATTTTTGCTCAGCCGGGTGTCTGATACATGCGGAAACCCATCACCATGCTTTAGAGTATCCAAACCAAGATGAGATTTCCATGTATACGACAACTTGCACTTATAAAGCACTTTCCATGCACGGAGATGGGGCAAGGCGGCGGGACTGAGGGAGAGTGTTTCAGAGTTTCAGGGAGTAGTGGCTGAAAGCGCAACCTCCGATGGTGGGGCAGAGGGTGTGAGGGATGAGTAGAAGGCTGGTGCAGTCGAGCCGAGGCACCGGGTGGTGGTTTGGGGAGTGAGTGTATCCCACCTACATTAGGTGCAGGTTGGCAAGAGCCAAGGCAGAGGTCTATCATGCGAGTTGTGTAAACCATATGCAAACGTGTACAGAGATGGCCCTAATTATGTCATTAACAACTACTGAAAGTAATTCCAGGTGGATTCTGGAATTAAGAGCAGGAGCAATTACCTTAGTGAGTGTGCTAATCCAGGTAACACAATCCAATTAGCACAACTTGAATCGAGGCTGACCCTCCAATGCAGTGTTAGGGGAAGTCCTGCATTGTCGGAGGTGTCATCCTTCCGATGAGACATTAAATCGAGGTCCCGCCTGCCGGTTCTGGTGGTTTGTTAAAGATCCCATGGCACGAATCGAAAATAGAATGGAGTTGCTTTCAGGGCCCTGTCCAACAGATAAAACTGGTCATTCACTTCGTGGCTGTTTGTGCGACATCGACTTGGTCAAATTGGCTGCCACGTAAACCTACGAAACACACAGTTTAACACACTTTACAGTGAAATCCTGTGAAATGCTTTGAGACACTGCACTACATCAAATGCAATGATTATTAGTATTATTATTTGCACCTTTAGCTTCCCACCCCTGCTTTTTTCTGTCAGACATCAAGTCGTGGATGAGAGCTAACTTTCTACAGTTGAACATCAACAAGACCGAGGCTCTCCTGATTTGGCCATCTCAGGCGCTGACAGCATCACTGTCCATGGTCGCACACTCCACCTCACTGAGCCCGTCCAGAACCTTGGTGTCCAGTTTGACCCTCAACTATCCTTTCTACTCTCCGACCTCCTAACCCCCTACCATCCTGCGCGCTCCCTCCGCTCAGCGGGCTCTGGCCTGCTTCACGACCCTCGTCTCGCCCACCCCACCATTGGCTGGGGGGGGGGCCTTCTGCCATTCTGCCCCCACCCTCTGGAACTCCCTTGCTCCCTCCCTCCCTCGTTCGCCCCCTCCCCCCCTCGCTCGTCCCCTCCCCCCTCGCTCGTCCCCTCCCCCTCGCTTGTCCCCTCCCCCTCGCTCGTCCCCTCCCCCCTCACTCGTCCCCTCCCCTCCCTCGCTCGTCCCCTCCCCCCTCGCTCGTCCCCTCGCCCCTCCCCCCTCCCTCGCCCCCTCCCTCCCTCCCTCCCCCCCTCCCTCCCTCGCCCCCTCCCTCGCCCCCTCCCTCCCTCCCTCCCTCGCCCCCTCCCTCCCTCCCTCCCTCGCCCCCTCCCTCCCTCCCTCGCCCCCTCCCTCCCTCCCTCGCCCCCTTCAAGACCCTCCTCTTCGTCCGTGCTTTCGATCTCCCCGTTTCCTCCCCTCCCCTCCCCCACCCCCCCAGCTCGGGTCTGCAACACCGTCTGTGCAGCGCCTCGGGACGTCCTCCCGACGTGGAAGGCGGTGCCACTGTAATGTTGTTGTTGTCGTTGTTGTTGTCCTGGGACCAACCCCTGGCGACCAGCTGCCTCCCCGTCACGTGACGGCGGCCAGGGCCAGCCTTGCGCTCGATCACGTGAGGAGCAGAGGATGGGGGGGGGGAGGGGGAGAGTGGGTAAAGTCACGTGATACCAACCGTTGGTCATGTGACGGTGCTCCGTGGCCGGTGGGATGGGGGGAGGGGGGTATCATATGACGAGGTCCTGAAGCCAGTGTGGGCTGTCATGTGACGGGGGAGGGGGGGGGCCGGTGAGCGCCGCTTTATGTGAGGGCGGCCGCTGTCACTCTCTCACTGACAAACATGTCGGCTCGGCGGGATCCTCGGCCCCCGGCCCTCACGCACTGGCTCTGCCTCCTCGCCCTCTGCTGCCTGTCGGATGCGGCCGAGTCCTTCGATCGCACGGCTCTATGCGGGTGAGTGCCACGCTGTCACCCCCACCCACCCACCCACCACCGGCCCTAAGAGGCTCCCGGCCCCGGGCTCTGCAGTCGGGCAGGAGGGGGCCCAGGCCCAGGCCCGCGGGCAGAGAGGCAGAGAGGAGCTGAGCGGGGCCCGAGCCCGGGTTTGTGCAGCTCCACACGGGCCGGGCCGGGCAGGGCAGGGCAGGGGGAGGGGGGTGACGCGGCTGTTAGTAAGAGGAGGGATATCTGTCCCCAGAGAATGAACCTCGGCAGTCTGTGTGTGTCTGTATGTCTGTCTGTATGTCTGTATGTGTGTCTGTGTGTCTGTGTGTGTCTGTGTGTGTCTGTCTGTGTGTGTCTGTCTGTGTGTCTGTCTGTATGTGTGTCTGTCTGTATGTGTGTCTGTCTGTATGTGTGTCTGTCTGTATGTGTGTCTGTCTGTATGTGTGTCTGTCTGTGTGTGTCTGTCTGTGTGTGTCTGTCTGTGTGTCTGTCTGTATGTGTGTCTGTGTGTGTCTGTCTGTATGTGTGTCTGTCTGTATGTGTCTGTATGTCTGTCTGTATGTCTGTATGTGTGTCTGTGTGTGTCTGTCTGTGTGTGTCTGTATGTCTGTCTGTATGTCTGTATGTGTGTCTGTGTGTGTCTGTGTGTGTCTGTCTGTGTGTCTGTCTGTCTGTGTGTCTGTCTGTATGTGTGTCTGTCTGTATGTGTGTCTGTCTGTATGTGTGTCTGTCTGTATGTGTGTCTGTCTGTATGTGTGTCTGTCTGTATGTGTGTCTGTCTGTATGTGTGTCTGTCTGTGTGTGTCTGTCTGTGTGTCTGTCTGTATGTGTGTCTGTATGTGTGTCTGTCTGTATGTGTGTCTGTCTGTATGTGTGTCTGTCTGTATGTGTGTCTGTCTGTGTGTGTCTGTGTGTGTCTGTCTGTCTGTGTGTCTGTATGTGTGTCTGTGTCTGTCTCTGTCTGTCTCTGTCTGTCTGTGTGTCTGTCTGTATGTGTGTCTGTCTCTGTCTGTCTGTGTGTCTGTCTCTGTCTGTCTGTCTGTCTCTGTCTGTGTGTCTGTGTGTGTCTGTGTGTCTGTCCTGTGGTTCCTGTTCTCGCTGTAACTTGTCTTGTTTTGCTACATCCTCTCTTTGCAGTTCTCTCCCTCTCTGTTGTCAGTACATTTTTATTAACTTTACCCACCGCCCCCCACTCACTCACTCACTCCTCACACACTCACTCACTCACTCCTCACACACACACACACTCCTCACTCACTCCTCACTCCTCACTCCCTCACTCCTCACTCCCTCACTCCTCACTCCCTCACTCCTCACTCCCTCACTCCTCACTCACTCATACACTCTTCACTCACTCACACACTCACTCCTCACTCACTCTTTCTGAAGCCCGTTTAACTTTTTGAAACTCCACAGCCGGCAGATAACCTGTCACGGTATCTCTCGCTTGTTTTTCTTTGCTGCCTGGCAGGTGTTTTGTTTTTAAAATGCAGTGCCCGGCAGAGAGAATCGGCACCAAATCACACGTAGTTATATGGAAATTATTACATTTACACTAAAATGCAAAAAAAAAATCACAACAACTTGCATTTATCGTGTGAAAGTGCCGACCTTCAGCCTCGAGGACTGAGCCAATGACGAAAATAAAGTTCGTAAGATCCACTTAAAAAGAAATGAGATCATGATCTAACCTACGAAATGCCTCGTGATCGATGAAGTGCTCAGCTCTAGTTAACTGTTGCAATGCAGAATTGAAACGTTAGTGGTATTCTTTGAGCTGTTTTTGCAGGGTTGTCAGCTAACTTGTTGCTTCACACAGATAGCGCAAGTAACATTATTTAAAACAGTGGCTGTCTTTGCTTTTAAATCCCGAATTGAATGTTAAACCGGCTATAATGAATTGCTTGTTATCTAAGCAGGATATCGTAGTTTGATTGAGAAGATTTACTTGCAGTTATTTTCTACCAAAGGGTTTTATAAAACATTGTACAGCTCACAAAATGACACAGCAGAATTCAGCTCACCACAGACTGATCTTTCCAATTAAACTAATGTTCCTTTTATTCTTAAGACAAGATTTAGTGATCAAAAGCATAATATAAATATTTTTATTTCAGGAGAAATACAAGCTAATCTATTGATCATGGCAAGTCAGTAGTGCTTATTATAAATACTATAGATGTTTTCTTAGGGGGATACTAGAGGTTATGCTACTGTTATTTTGAAATTGCTAATGTATCGTTTCCATAATAAACAAAACCAGAATGGTCCAGAGTCTTTGAGCATTATCCTAGGGCAGCCTGACTCAGTTGGTAACGCTCATGCCTTTGGGTCAAAAGGTATTATGCATGGTTTGAGTTCTATGTCAGGATATAATCCTAGACTGACAGCCAGTGAAGCGCTAGACGCTGCTGCGTTGTTAGAGGCATTGTCTTTTAGATGAGACATTACACAGCTTGTTCATCAAGTAGATGTTAGTATCCTATGATACTGTTGTAAAAGGGTCTAGCATTCCTGTGCAGTGCTGGGAGAGCTTTATGTTGACTGAGGTACTGTCCTTCAGATGAGATATTAAATTGAGTTTCTGCCTGTTCAGGTGGATGCTAAAGGTCCCATGACGTTATTTGGAAAAATAAAAGGGAAGTTCTCTTGGTATCCTACCAACCGTTCTCCCGATAAAATTGATCATTCTCTTCATGGTTCTTTGTGGAACATTGTTATGCACAAATTAACTGCTGCATTTGCCAACAAATAGTCTTTACACTTTACAGAAAAACCCTGTGTAGTGTTTTGAAAGCCTTTGATTATCTAATAGTGTTGTATTAAATGCAAGGATTATTATAAATACGGTAGATGTCAGCTGATCATTGAGTGATTGTTTTAGTGCTGAAAAATCTGCAATCTAGATTTCCTTTCATAAAATAGAGATCAATCTCAATTAGTGAATGGTAAACAAAAGTAACTTCAGGTAAACACAATTAGCCATTTACTATTATATCAAAAAACATTTCATTTACATATCAGATGTGTAAATATTTCATGTGATGGTCGAGTCAATTTCTGTAAAATGTGAAGTATGCTTCACTGAAATTGTCATTGTCAGCTAAATGTGATAAATGCAGTAAATGTGGAAGTATCTGTGTTCCCTTGTTAGGTTGTTTTAGGTTCTGTTAATCAGAGGCAGCCTGAAAACAAATCTCCAGTGTAGAATTTAAGCTATTATAAACATTTGCAATTCATCATATTGCTTTAACCACAATTTCCCAGACTAGTAACTGGTAATTCGGGTAACCAATGTGCTTCAAGAATTTCAGAAAGTGTAACTCATAAAATTGTCGCTTAAAAAGCAAATTACATTTATAACGTCTTTCACGTCAGGAGGAGATCTCTAAATATTATCAGCATATACTGTTACATAAATAAAATGTTAGATTATCCTTCCTTCATGCAACTGAGCTCGTAGTCTAGGTTGACCTTCCAGTGCAGTGCTGGAGGCGCATTGCTTTGTCGGTGCACCGTCCTTCTAATGAGAATTTAAACTGGGATCCCATCTGCCTGGTCAGCTTGATGTTAGACATTTAGTGGCACTGTTCGAAAAGAGAATTTGTGTGCAATAATGCCCACAAACTGGCTGCGGGGTTCACTTATGAAGCACTTTACAGTAATTCCTGTGAAGAGTTTTGAGATATATGGATGTGATAAGGCACCATATCAGATGGAAGGATTGTTACTGCATTCTTTGTACTGAAACTGCTTCCCAAAAGGGGGCTAGTACTTGAAACCATGCATGCAAGGGTGACTATTTTGGCTTGTGAGTCTGATGTCTGAACGTTCATTTAGGAAGCCAAAGGAAAAGAAATACGAGCAAACTAACGTTGCATTTATCAATAGGTTCAGTTTAAAGATGCAAGCGGAGGGAAGTCCTTTAAATTGAAAATACTTGTCTGTCGAGTTAATTATTTATCAAATGCGCTGATTCCAATTTGATGCATCGTTCTCAGCATTGGAGACGTGAAGTTATAGGTGTGCCAACTTGAAACTGAGCTGATTGTTGACCTAAATCACAGGGCCCGTCTGCAAATGGCTCTGTGGTATAACTCGTGTTCCTTCTTAGAGGGCAGCTTTTGTTTAGCCTGATTTAAATGACTTCATATGTGGTGGGAGTCCAACAATTACCAGTATTTAAAAAGTTATCACACACCGGTAACTTTTAAATGAGCCAAGTGCATGTACACTGCCAAATTTATGTATTTTTATAAGTTAAATATTATTTTGCTGTATACATAGTGTGTAGGAAGTCATTGTGTAAAGACAAGCAAGTGGCACTGTCTTGCTTTATTGCTGACTGAGTAGATGAATACTTCTTCACTGGGAATATGTGGCCCAATCTTAATATCCTGGCCAAGAATGTAACTTGTTCCCCTACCATCTTGGGACTATTCTGAGGACTCTTGATTCAGGAATGAAGGAAAGTTGAGTTTGATATTACAATAAAGAACAAAATGTGAATCAGAACTAATAATGCCTGTATTTGATATTGCATTTTCACATTAAACAATGTCTCAAAGTGCTTCACAGGATATGCTGTAAAGCGTACTGACTACTCTTTGTATGGGAACATGACAACTAAATTTGTGAACAGCAATGTCCTACAAATAGTTGTGATGTGAACAACCAATTTTATTTGAGGGATTATTGGCCAGAACACCGGGAGAAAATCCCTTCTCTTTTCTCTTGAAACTACAACCTAACTCCGAGTCAAGAGTACTATTAACTGAGCCAATCTGACACCTTTTAGTGAGTAACAGATCCTATTGAGGATGTAAAAGTAGCTGAAATGTAAGATGACTAAGCGCAATAAGACTCAATCTGATTCGAATATTAGTAACTCTAATTATAGCCATAAAACAGTGAAGTCAGTGAATGACGGATTTTGAAAGTAACGTATTGATATAGTGTCTTTGGGAGGACGTCCTAAAGTCCTTCACGTGATGTACTGTAAAGTGTAGTCACTGTGTGTGAGTTGTGAGTGATTAAGACCTAGGCTTTTGCGATAGTTGCATTTACGGGTGACTTCACGCTGGATGGGTAGAGTGGAATCTTAGGAAACAGCCATGGTCTTACAATGATAGGTTTAAAGTATATATAGCTGTACTAATTAATGGCAACTAAAGATAATGTAATGTATTCTGTACCGGAAGTAAAAAATAGGCAGCCTGTGTATTTCATGTACAACTTGCCAAGAGGAAAGTTGAGCAGAAGTTGGAATGCTGTTTGTTGCCCTGTTACTCAGCATGTCCAAACAGTGTAAGGCAGCATTAAAAAAAAATGTAAATGCATGCTGGGCTACAATGCCAAATCTTTCAGATCCTCAGATAGCATGCTTGCTCTGTGCTCTGGTCAGGCCACACCTGGAGCACTATGTACAGTTGCAGTGCAAAGCAATGAGGCTAATTGCCCAACGTGTTAACAGCTATGAATAGCAATTTGATACTGGAGCTTTTTGGTTTCAAAGAGACCGTTTCTTACAACAACAACAACAAATCGTATTTATATAGCAACTTTCGTGTTGAGGGGCTGTCCCAAAGCACTGGATAGTTGAGAGTTTGCACCCAAGCTGAAGGTTGGATTTATGTGGGGTGGGAAGATGACTGAAAGAGGAAGGTCAAAGAGGAAGGTCTTGAGAAGGACCTTGCTGGAGGTCAGGGAAGGCTAAGGGACTCCGCAATGGAGGTGGAGTCCATGAGGTTGAGTGTGCATCCATGTGGATTGATGCTATGAGCACCTGAGATGAGAAGGTGATGCTGGGAGCCAAGCAGGATGGCCTCGGTCTTTCAACATTCAACTGGAGAAAGTTTGCTCTCATCCAGGATTTGATGTCCAGCACGCAATCTGTTAAGACAGCAGAGGTCCTAGAATTAAGGATAGCGACAGAGAGGTAGAGTTGGGTGTCATTTGCGTACATGTGGAAGTTAACCCAATGCCTATGGATGACATTGCTAAATGGGAGCATGTCGATATTAGAGGAGAGGACTGAGGAACGCTGTATGTGATGGTGTTAGAGTAGGAGGATAAGCCATTGGGAGAAATGAAGTGGAGACATTGGGATTGATCAGTGTTTTACTTTCCAATCTTCCCAGTGTACGTGTGCAACTGCAGAATTGAATATCGTGTCTAGTTTTAATGCTGAATCTGCTGTAGACTTGTAAATGTGTTACACAAAACCATTGTTGTTTTTTTTTGTAAACGTTAACATTTGTTAACTCTGACTTTTGGCATTGGGTTTGGATTCAGTCTTGTTAGTTAAATGTTTTCAATGCAAGCGTTCCATTGACGTTTCCATTTGGGGTGAGGAGCATTCAATGCTAAGTTTAAAATAGTAAAGGTGGGTGAAGAGGAAGATTTTTGTAGAGTTTCACGTGTATTGAACGAGCAGTTTTAATGTGAAAGCTAGTGCACAGAGTTCAATTGTTTAATTTTTCTAAGTGGATTTCTAAGTGGATTTTACTTGTACGAATGATTAGTTATATACATAATCTAGGAGTTCTTATCTCTGTTTTAAGCTGTCGTGCTGAAAATTGCTGTTGCGTGAATGTTGTGCTGAAGGTATGCAAGGTGAAAATGCCTTTTTACTGCAATCCCTATGGCATCCTTATTTAGCACAGTTTCTGTGTACGTGAATTGGTGACTTCTGTTTTTTGTCCCCCCCTTTACATTTTTTGCATGGTTACCTACTTTGTATTAATAAGGTTGGGATGAAGGTTATCAGAGAGATAAGTAGATGGTTGAATATCGTTGTGCATTGACCAGGATAGTGCAGACCTTTGAATATGCCTGAGGATCAAGTCTTCACTGAGGGCAAGGCGTGAGTGACGGTTAGGAACTTGAGTATTTAATGGCTGTTGAAGGCTTAGGGGGTATTTTTAGGCACCTAGACTTTTCTTTGGCATTGTATGTGTTTTTGGCATCATATTGAAATAAAGTGCTGTATGGGAATACTGTCTTGCATTTGATTGGCCTTGAGCACTACCAGGAAGCGGTTTCCGATGCAGATCAATGCCTACGTGAGAGTATTGCTTTTTCACACGGAGGGCCTGTGACTGTTAATGCTGTCTGGAGTTGAGCAGCTGGTAATAGTGCAGAAGATTGGAAGAAATGAGAAACCCATCCCTGAGTTGGGCAAGTTATTCTGTGGGGAGGGGTCCTATAATGGCCTTGAGCCATTATTTTGCACATTCAACAGCTAGTTCCACATCCACTACTTCCTCCCAGGATCCATTGCATGTTGCAAGGTTCATCACAAACCACATAATAATAATCCTTGCATTTGATATAGCGCCTTTCACACCTTCGAGACGTCTCAAAGAGCTTCACAGAATATACTGTAAAGTGAATTGACTGTATTTGTGGGAGTGAAACGTGGCAGCCAATTGTGCACAGCAGCGTCCCACAAACAATCGTGGATTGAAGTGATCAGTTTTATTATTTTTTGTCCCGGAGGGATTATTATCAGGTGGGTGGAGAAAGGAAACTTAGTCAAGGTTTCGCTCTGCCGGGAACCAAACCCAAGTCTCTCGCTTGCTCCAACCACTGAGCTACAGGACTCCTGAAACCTCAAAGATTTCAGACTCCTTTCTCTGCCCAGTGAGTGCCTCCAGGTTGGAAGCGCTGAGGGCAGGATAAGGTTAAATGTTACAGTTGATGTTGAGCTGGTGGGGGAACCTGAAAAACAAAGCAAGATCCTGATGGCTTGACTTCCAATTATACGAGACTGGAACCATCTTGTTCTAATTGTCCATTGCATAAATATCACGCCTTGTATTCTTACAGTATCTGGTAATTCTATAGTGTCTAATGTATCAATGTCTCACAGTGCTTCACATGCAATTGCTGTCCAGTGGAGTGACTGTTCTTGTAGTTTTGAAAAAGATTTGTCAGTAGGATCTCACAGGTGGGTGGTGGGTAACTGGGATTGAGTAGACCTTGATGGGCAGTTTATTGTTGGCTGGCATTATATGTAGCTGTTTTATAGCACATCAACTGTCGTAAGTCTTGTATGCCGTATTTTTTTTTTACTCCTCTTCACCCCTCAAACCCCAGTGGCAGGAAGAGTACTTCAGTACTTCATTGAGTGACTTTAAATGCAGAATGTTCTGAATGGTGTAAATAGGTCTCTTCCTTTCTTTATTCCCCCGTCCACCATTTCTCCCTGATTTGAAGAAAAAAACAATGGAAATAGCAAATTATTGCGGCTTCATAAAATGCAAGAACTCAGTGAATATAATAATAGTCTGGCTAACAACAGCGCATTTATATAGCAGCTGTCACGCAGGGTAGCGTCTCGGAGAGCTTAGTCTGGCTAAAACTGAGATAAGATATATGAACAAAAATTAGTGTTAAATAGGAATAAAATTTAGGGTGGAAACTCTGTTTGTTCTGTGTAACTATTATGAGTAAGTTGCTGGTTATTTTTTTTTCTAGAAATACATTTTTAGTTTTGAAAGCCAGTGTTCTAAATGGTAAGGATCATTTTGTTTAGATGTTTTTGTCCCTTTGAGAGGGGGAATGTAACATTTAACAGGATGCAAGAATTACATTGAATGTGGGATTTGACGTTTGTATTTTTCTTTCTTCCAGGTATACATGGGAAGCTATAGATTCAGAAAAGGGAATACATTACAAAATAAACCTCTGTCAGTCTATAGATTGTGGGGTTCCGAGTGCCATCTGTGCCTATGACGTCTCAAAAAAAACCAACCAGTCAGTAGGTAAGTGGAACAAACTCTATATTTGACTTTTATTGTAATCATTAAATTAATGATTATTAATCTTGCATGATCTAGATATAATCCCCAGCTCGGGTGCAAACCCTCAATTGTCCATTGTGAAAGGCGCTATATAAATAAGCAATCTGTTGTTCGACGTCTCAAAGTGCTTCATAAGATATACTGTAAAGTGTCTTGACAGTTTCTGTTGAAAAGGCAGATTTCTCCACTAGCCTTGCTTGAAGGGTATTTAAAATTTTGTGCCACCTTCAACATCTGCTCATGGCCTTTGATATTGCAACTATGAGAAACGCTTCCAGTTGTGGACAAGCAAGCTGCCGTGATCCATATCCTGGAACTATGTCAACTGAAAAATCAGGCTTTATCGGTCCAAGTATAGAAATGTAGAAGAGTAGTGTCACTGCTATATTGTAGATTCATTGTAAACATATTTAAAATAGTCAATCTCCCACATCTCTAACAAAAAACCCATACAAGTTAAATAATGATAGATGAACATATACTCTTCATCGTGATATTACGTTTGAAAAGGACTGTTTTGTCTGCAACAAGATTAAGGTTGGAAAATATGTTTGGCATCAGACTTAGTGAAAATAAGTTTGAAAAACTGAGCTCCAAATTATTTCAATTTGGGGCCCCTTCCAACTTCTTTGACTTACCCATGCCACCCTTTGCCCAAAAGGACATCACGTAATTTGCAACAAGGCCACTCATTGAATGACCTTAGACTGCCTGCCAGGAGAAGTGAGATCATAGATTCTCAACCTGACAACAACAAATTATCCTTCCTCCATATTTTGTTTTTGTTCTCTTATTTTAGAAGCCCCATTTCCTTGCCTTGATATGCTCCAATTATTAGTTCTTTATCCTATTAACAATTATTAATTGTTAATCTCGATTTCAAGATCCTCACCCTCGTATTCAAGTCCCTGCACTCCTCTGCTGCACCCCCTACCTCTCTGACCTCCTCTCTCCTCAGCACAGTACCTGTTGCTTTCGTTCCTCCAGGTCTGACCTCCTCCGTGTCCCCCGAGACCTCCGCTCCATTCTCGGCAGCCGTGCCTTCAACTACTATGCCCCGAAGCTCTGGAACTCCCTTCCTCACTTCCTTCGTCTCGCTCCCTCCCTTCCTATTTTCAGGTCTCTGCTGAAGACCTTTCTTTTCGACCGCACCTTTGGTCACCTTCCCACCCCTTCCCCCGGCTCAGTCCCGGGATCCATTACTATAAAGCGCTCCGAGACGCCGTCTGGCGTGGAGGGCACTATATAAATCCAAGTTTTTGTTAGTACTCTATCCCTCTAACCCTGCTGCTAGGAAATCAATGAATATTCTATGGTATTACATGCCTGATTTATTTATGATCACATGTCTAAGGTGTGCTTGATAACCTCATGACAAACCATAAGAATTGCCAGATGAAGGTCCATACAGTTTACCTGCCACCATCCTGGCAGTCGCATGTACATGTCAGTTACAAACCAGATTAACAATTTGCCAAGTAGAGTATTGTGGTTTGAGTTGTATATCTTTCCTCACATGGAGCCTTGGGTTAACTCACTTGAACCTCTGTCAGTTTATCATTTATTGTATTGCATGCAAACTATGTGCTGTCCATGGTCTTGGGACCTCCTCCCAATGTAAAAGGCGCTATATATTGTGATAATTATGAAGGCCATTTATTAAAATCCAGTATAAAATTCTGCTGGCATATCTCAGTTCTGTATGCAAGCGCTTGTCATCTAAGCTACAAATTTTGCCATACTCCCAATTAGGACATGAGCAGATGTTGAAGGTGACACAAAATCCTAGATGCCCTTTAAGCAAGGGTAGTGGAGAAATTTGCCTTTTCAACGGAAATAGTCAAGACACTGTAGTACATCCTGTGAAGCACTTTGAGATATCTAACAGCAAATTGTTTATTTATATAGTGCCTTTCACATCGGACAATTGAGGGTTTGCACCCAGTGCCTTGGGGCATCCTCCCGACGTGCAAGGTGCTATACAAATGTAATTTTGTTTTTGTGGTTCCATAGCCACCAAGCAGTACTGTTATCGCATCTTTACTAAATGCTCTTTTCGATTCCATGGGTGCTGGTACTCCACTCAAGTAACGCTTGACATGTGATTGGCGAGGCTGTCAGCTAACTTATCTGTTAACGCTACGCTGAGGATACCACTTACCCACCACATCAATAGGCAGACACTACGATGCTTTGTTGCACATTGTTTCAGATTCTGAAGTCCTTGTATTCGTTGTTCTGGAGCCTTTGTACCTTTCCAGTCTGCAATGTTGACACCTCCACTGACCAGAGCTTATGACTAATTTCTTCTGTTTGCACTGGTTATAAACTAGCATTTGAACTATTCATGACGTTCTTGTATTCAGCTTTCTGGATACTTTGAACTAGAAGCTGATTGAATCTTTAGATTGCCCTCTGTTGAAAGTTAGGGTTGTCACCACTCTCCTTATGTGAGTGGCTGAGTGCCATGGTGTTAATCTGAGCTTCCTTTCTGTGCGGAGGTGCTTGATGGATGCTGGAAATGTGCATTTGCAGACTGGGAAGACCCTTTTTCCCCACCCCCACACCATACACTCTTGCTTTGAGAATGACATTGGTGGAGACCTGGAAGCAGATAACATGTGCTTGGTATCCTGGCCATGCAACGAGTAGATGGGGACGAATTGCAGCAATTAAACCACTAAGCAAAGGTTTTGTGACCACAAAGTCACAATTCAGTATACAGAAAAAGTTGTGGTATGCTTGAGACTCTGCTTGTGAGGAGTGGGCTAGTTTGGCCTGTGAGACACACCTCCATCTTAGACCATGGTGGCTCTTTATCATTAAAATGCATCTCTTATGCTGCATTTGACTGGGTTTTAAATGGCTTAGACGTTGAGTATTTCTCTGAATCGATTTTGGAAAATGAGTAATTTGACTCTTTTGCACCATTAGCCAAAGTTGTGAAGCAATTGATCACGCCTTTGGAAACTGAGTCAATATACGTGAGGCCCAGCTCTTAGTATTGCTTGCAGAATGGTGGTGATCGAAACTGGTGTTAAAAACTGAGGGAAGTGTAGCTTACCCCAAAAGTGGTTGAAGAACAAAGCAGCTTTGTATCACCACTGCACATAGCTCAATTCTACATTTTTGCTTAAGTGGAGGAAGAATACTTTTTCTAAATGTTTTGCCAGGTGTGCAGAAATCCCATGCAACATTCACAGAATCCTAGAATGTTTCGGCAGAGAAGGCCATTTGGCCAGTCCTGACTATTTATAAGAGCTATCAATTCCCCTTTCTTTTACTTATACTCTTGCTATTTTTCCTTTTCAGATGTGTTTTTCCCATATTAAAAATTTATGTATTCTGCTTCAATGATTTTTATTTGGTAGAGCATACAATGTCTTAATTATCCTATTTTAAAAATGATTCCTCATCTGTCCATTTGTTTGGTAATCCTCCTAAATTAATATCCTCTGATTACTGACTCGCCAATCAGTAGAAATAGCTTCTCCCCGTTTACCTTATCAAAACATTTCAACATGTCTAGCAAATCTCTTCTCAATCTTCTCCATTCACAATCCATATGATATCCACTGTGCGATGAATCTTCTAGGTAGTGGCACAAGGGAAAATATGCAATTTGAAAGGAAACCTTTTTGAGATGCAAAGATTCATTTGTCTTGAGTTGGGCATATTCGAATGAAAGTTGCAGAGTTGTTCATTCACTAGCAATTCCTTCATGAATTAGTCACTGGGCTACAATGATGGGATATGGAGGTGGACTGGTAACTGACTAAATGGAAGAAAGCTGAGGGTAATTGTGAAAGAGCCATCTCTGAATAGGAATGATCTATGGAGTGATGCAATCTAGGACTCCTCCCACATAGAACAGCAGCAAAATTATATTTGTATAGCAATCAGTGCTTCGGACCGGAGCTGAAAGTCGGGATCGGGGATGGTGGAAGGTAGTGGGGCAAGGAGGTTGACTGAAGACACAGTCAAAGAGGAGAGTCTTGAAGGCAGCCGAAGAGAAGGGTCTTGAGATGGGTCTTGAAGGTGGCAAGGAGGGAGTGAGGTGGAGGGACTGCGGGTTGGAGTTCCAGAGGGTGGGGCAGAGTGGCTGAAGGTCCACCGGCCAATGGTGGGGCGAGCAAGGTGGGGGACGTGAAGCAGGCTGGAGCCTGCTGAGCGGAGGGAGCGAGCAGGATGGTAGGGGGTTAGGGGTCACAGAGGTTGGGGGGAGCAAGGCCATGGAGGGCTTTGAAGGTGAGGACTGTATCCTCTGTGTGATGGGAAGCCAGTGGAGTTGGGCGAGGATGGAGATGATAGAGTCACAGAGAGTGCGGGAGAGGACATGGGCTGCAGAGTTCTGGATGATCTGCAGCCTTTGGAGGGAAGAATTGGGGGGACGACAAACGATCCTAGGTGTCATGAATGCGTGAATGAGGATCTCGGCGGCCTGCGATGTGAGACAGTGGCGGAGCCGGATGATGTTGTGGAGGTGGGGAAGGCAGAGCGGGTCATGGTAGAGATGTGGATAGAAAGGACAGTTAAGGGTCAAACAAGACCCCAAGGTTCTGGACTGGCTCGGTGAGGTGGAGTGTGCATCCTTGGATGGTGATGCTATAAGTGCCGGTGGGCTGGAGATGGTATGCGTGCCACAGGTTAGTTGCTTTTTTTAAAAAAAATGACATTCATGTGATTCATGGCATAAATCAAGAAATATTCAATCAAGAAAATGTGTTTTGTTTGCCAATCATAGAGGTTTAAAGGGTGTAAAAAGGCAGTCTTGAGGTTCCTATTTGAAATGTCTCACGGGGCAAGTGTTCCCGGTTGGATTGGCTAATATCATCACGGTAAACGGAATATGTGCTCTCTGTAAAAAAAAGTAAGTGTAGTTAGAGGTAATCTACTTTTAGTGCTTTTCAATCTCTTGTCCAGATGATGGAAATTTCACAAACAGAGTCTCGGGCATGCCACAACCTTTTTGTTCACTGCCCTGTGACTTTGGGGTCTCAAAACCTTTGCTGCTTAGTGCACCTGTAAAAGCGTGAGACTTTATAGGATTTCTGGAGGTAGAATGGCTTAAATTGTCCCAACTTTACCTGCAGTCATTGGATTGCTTCTATCATTTGGATAAATATAAATCAGCACTGTGTGTACAAATGAATTTTAAAATTAGAATTCAATGAGGGAGAGCTATGAGTCAGCATGTCCTTGAAGGTTTATTGGCTGCCGGGATTCACCCACAAAATATACAGTCAATTCACTTTACAGCATATTCTTTGAAGCACTTTGAGACTTCTCAAAGATGTGATGAGGTGCTATATCGAATGCTATTATTAATAATGCTGTAGATTAATTTTGTGTGTTCTCTCTTCCCCTCACCCCAAATACAGGTGATTTTGCTTTGAACAGCAGTGCAGGGAACCACATTGAATTCAATACTACCAAGAAATGTTCAGACCAAAGTACCCAGCCTGTACAAAGTAGCATCAATTTCCTTTGTGGAAAAACCTTGGTGAGTGTGGTTTATTTTGTCATCACATGATTGTTCTTTCGCAGTCATATGCCAGTAATGGAGCAAAAGTTGAAATGTATGTGGTTGTTGAGGGTGGATTGTGTGAAGCACGAACTCTACTAGTTAAAATGTCATTTGCCCTGTAACTATTTTTAGAGTAAATGTTTAGAGCTGACTCACATTCAGATCATCTGTAGTTGAATGTTGAGCATAATATCTTAACTTTGTAATTGCTTTGCAATTTGGAATTAAAGTTTGTATTCCAAAACTTTAAATATTCTTATTTAATTCTTGATCTTTATTTTTATTTCTTAGTCTTTAGATTGTCAGCAGATCAAACAAAGGAAACTGCTATCTCCGTAACCTGACCAGTTTTGTATGTTTGCAGCTCTTCAGATAAATCATGAATATAAGAATAGCTAATCAAACAACAACAAGATTACATTTATATAGCGCCTTTCACATTGGGAGGATATCAGGATAGTATTTAGTATTTTGATGTCATATTATTCCTAACTTAACACATTGTAGAAAATGTAAACCTTCTGCTGTGCCTGTTTTTCCCATTCTCTCCTCTTTAGAGAATGGGATTTAATTATTTTTACAAGGTGTATAATTCCAGAAATTCTTTTTATTCAGGGTACTCCTGAATTTATCACTGTTTCGGAATGTGTCCATTACTTTGAGTGGAAAACCTTCGGAGCTTGCAAGAAGAGCACCTTTAAACCCCAGAAAGAGGTAATTACAGTGGCCCTGAATAAATGGTATTACAACTATGCTAAAAAGATCTTGTGAGTAAGATTTTTGTTTTGTTTTTGCTGAGCATCCTGATAATCACAAGGTAATGCTTCACTATTTATATGATGTAAATATGTTGCTTTGCAAAAGGTATTACATTTTTAATCCTAAAAGTATTGCACTATTTATATGAAATGTCCAGCTATTTTATGTGTTCTGAGTGTGAGCTTAATATTACTGCTCTGAACGCCCTCCAGTGCTGCCATTGAAAGCACTGTCTGGCAGGCTTTCCTGCTGTTTGTCTAACTCGGACTACTCAACCCATTAGGACATTTTGTATTTCAAGGTTAGCAAGAACTGAATGGGAAGAATCCCTACCCCCAGTGACCAGCTCCCTTCCCAAGCCCCACTGATGAGGCAGACTGATGGTCTGTTATCGGCAGTGTCTTGGTGTCCTGCAGACCCACCTGGCTCAGGAACCGAACTAACAAGCCCACCACAGATGGTTGACTTGATTTTAATGTTCTGTTGCCAAACATCACTTTGAAGCCTGTTCAGCCTCTGCTTACCTCCTTTCTTCCCCCCTTCCCCCCCCCCCCCCACCCAATGCAATTTGTATTTTGTTGCATATCACATGTAAGGATTTTTTTATTAACCATTTCAAACCATTTCTTTAAAAGGTCCCGTGTTATGTTTTTGATGAAGATTGGAAGAAACGTGATTTGAATCCACTGATAAAGACCTCTGGAGGTTATTTGGTCAGTTCTCCTGATGATGATGACTTGTACATCAACATTTGTAGAGATATAGGTCAGTGAACATTCATTTGGGTTCAAGTGTCTGTAATTCAATACTTATGAAATATCTAGCTTGTCTTTGTTGGTAGCACTCTCGCCTTGAGTCAGAAAGCTCCAGGTTCAGGCTACACATCATGACTTTGAACTCATAATCTGGACTGATACTGCTGTTGCAAGGGCTGCCAGTGCCGCATTGGTAGATGTGCTAACCTTCAGGTGAGATATTATAGTGAGGTCTTATCTATCCAGGTGGATATTAAAGATCTCATGGCATTATTTGAAAAGAATAGGGACATTCTCTTTAATGTCCTAGCCAACAATCCTCCAGAAAACAATTGGTATTCATCTCATGGCTGTTTGTGGAATATCACTTGTAAATTGACTATCTAAAAATCATTACACTTTATAATCAATCCTTCAAAACACTTTGACCTTTTGATGCTATATCTAAGGTGCAATATCAAATACAAAAATTTATTATTGTTGCGATACTATTAATAGAATAAGGTTATGGCCTTTGCCACTTCCATTATATAAGATGAGCTTGTTCTGTTTTTAGAGCCCTGCGTGGAGGGCGCTATACAAGTGCTTGTTTTGAACAGATGTGTGTTGAGGTTATTTTCTCTTTGAAATCCATTTTCTTTGGCAGAAATTCATTTGGTTCTGCAAAGGTTTAGTTTAAGTACTTCTAAGTTTGAGTAAGGTAGAAATAGTAGCTTTTATGATTTCATAGGACTTGTTAATTCCCAAAGAATCGTATTACTATTTTAAAATGTTGCTGCTCTAAGAACAATAGGCTACATGAGTGGACCACATAAGATCATGACTAATTGGAGTCTAGATGTAGAAATAGAGTTCAAGTTTAATTAATAGAGCATCTTTTGGGTTGGGCGGAACTTCCAAGGTGCTTAACAACAGTCTTGATACCCGAGCTGCGGGTAGGAATTCAGCATTGCCACCAAAGAGTCTTGCCTGATTTTCTTTTGGAGATGCTCTATCCCTTGGAGATTTGCAATGGCTGGTGCCATCTGGTGTATTTTGATCTATGCTCCATGTCTCATTGATCCATGAATATTTTTGCTTCTGTGATTTCTGAATGGTTGACCTTCTGAGAGCTCTCTTACATTTCATTGTGTGATACAGAATGTTATTGTTGCCAATGGTTACTTAATCTGAGTCTGACTGCATTTTGCTTTAAGGAGCTTTAGGGGTGAGATCCAAGTTAAGTGTAGCTAATTAATTCTCCACAGATGTACTCATACTCCTATATGGCATTGTGGTTTAGCTCAGGGATGACATTATACATGTGTAGAATAGTGATGCAGGCTGCAAGTTGGCCATCCTTGGTTGAGCTAATCAGATATTCAAATAAGAATTTGTGTTTTCCCCCCTATATGTTCTAAAATAGTTTGTTTAGAAGGTTATTATGATGTCCATTATGTTACTCCATGTTTAGTTTTTTATGTGACTCATTTTGCTAATCTATTTGATAGGTGGCTCGAGTGGCAACACCTCAAGTTGTATAGCCGGGAGCAGTGCTTGCCTGTTGAAAGGATCAGTTGCTTATGATGTTGGCCAGCCAGCTGAAGGTTTAAAACTGGTTGGTAAAGACAGGTATGCAATTTGAGAACTGCACTGTGTAACTCATAACTGTGCTTGTTTTACATAAGATATTGAAGCTTAAAAACTGCCTCATATTGTGTTGACCACTTTGGGTAAGCACTCTGAGATGCTATTCTACGTGAATGGGCTCTGTATAAATCCAAGTTGCTGTTGTTGATCCAAAGTCACCCACATTCTAGTGATGGGAAGATCCTATAGAAAGTGGTCTCGGAAGCCACTTGACCTTAGTATATTTCAGTGAACCAGTACAGTAATTGAAATGCAAATGTTTGCTGTAAAAATGCTAAGGGTCTTGTGCCCTGTTTAGATTTGCAGCTAAAAAAGGGTATCATTTGTTTATGAATGGAATTAAGGAAACCTATTCAAAATGAACTATTTTGGATGAAGTTTTCTGACCTACAAACAGCACCACAGTTAATTAGAATTGTCAAATAGTGCCTTTGACATTCCAGCTCAGTGATGATACAAGCAGCTCATTGTTCATTGAGACAGAAACCTTATTTATCAGATCTTTGAATTATTTACATTGTTTGACATGGCAACCAGGTTCTGAGGTCAGTGCTTCAAATTAAAATAGAAATAAACTTGTCAAGCTGTACATTTTCAACTACTCTTATCTGCCCGAAGACAAGTTGAACATTTATTAAATTGAGCCAGTGCAAGGCAAATGGATGTATCGGCATGTTGTGGGTGGTATATGGTTTCTTTTTCTTGGCTTAATGGGGGGAAGAGATGATTTGCATAATGCTAAAACTGAAAAGTTAGAATTTTTGTTTATTTACTGATTTGTGTTCTAGGTTAGTTCTTCATTATACCAAACCACATGCTGAAACCAAAAACCCTGTGTTTTGTGGCATTCATCAACCTGCAGTCACCATTACATTAATCTGCCCATCAGGAAGAAGACAGGTTTGTAAATGAGTTCCCGATTACCTTTCCTATTTCTGAAAAAAAAAAGTTGATCCTGTGTTTAACTCACTCCCTCTTGCAAGTGGTTGTTATTTATGTATCTGCAAAGAGCCACAAAAGAATTGCAACTTAGCCAGACCCATAGACACTTACAGCACAGAAGGCGGCAATTCGGCCCATCTGTTTCATATCAGCTTTGGTCAGTTAGGAGAACTGTTTGTTTCTATCTCAGAAGGTTGTGGGTTCTAGTCTCTCTCATTGGAGTCTGAGCTCACAATCCAATCTGACATTTCAGTGCAGTATTGGGACATCTCAGGCAACATATCATTGCATCATCAGTCCGTTCACAGGGCATGATATGAAAAGAGAAAGTAAGGAGTTTCTCTTGCTGGCCAGGCTGATGGTTGATCAGTCACGGTGCTTTGTAGGACTTTGCTGTGTGCAATACGGCTGCCTTAAATACGTTTAATAAAACTGTAAAACCAATCAGTTTTATAATTAATGCCACCTTATTCTGAAATGCACAAATAATATTTTGCACTGAGGGTGGAAATTGATTTTAAGAATTATGTTCAATTAATCAAAGGATGTGGACTTCGTGGCTTTGCTTAGAGTATTTAAATCACTTTTAGACTTTCAACAATTTTGAATATTGCTGATGGATATCTGTATAACATTATTGGATTCATTGATTTTTACTAGGGTGCAGAGCCTCAGCTAATAACCAGCACCAACTGTCGGTATGAGATTGAATGGATTACTGAATACGCTTGCCCCAAGGATTACCTGGAGAGCCATAGCTGTATCCTCAACAATACCCAGCACAACATTGATATTGACCTGACACCCCTCAAGTTAACTGCTGGTGAGGAAAAACACCTTAACTTTCATTATTAGATGCTCTATTATTTTCTGTTGTCCAATGTGATTGCCAGTTACGAATGCTCAGAGTATGAAGTGTATATTGTAGGAGAAATATAGGTTGGTTTTGTTTTATAGGAAAAAAAATTGTGTAAGGAACATTAGAAGTCATGACATTGTTGTGGGTATTTTCATCGCATTTTTAGATTTGAGGTAGACTTTTTTTTAATGAACCTTATTTTAAAGTTTTTTGGAATGCAAATCTATACAATGTGCACGTGTCTTGACATGTGAATGCTGGAGTGGAGGAGTCCAACGTGCTGAGCACTTAATGAAAGTTAATAGGACAATATTATTTTCAATAACAGGCTGAAAACTAATTTCCCATCCAGGTTTCTGGATTGCAAAGTTGAATGCAGAGAATCGTGCTGCATTTCAAAGGAGAATAGATAATAGATTAAGCCAATCTTTTTAAGCGAAGCCATTTCAGTCTGCAAGAAAATGTAATTTTTTTCCATAGAAGCTGACAAACACCCTGATATGATCACGAGTACATCTTTAGTAAGCTTCTGAGATACTTAACCTCAGTTCAGAAATTTCCAAAACTGACTGGCTAAGGTTTCCCTAGTGTTTCCATTCATTCGTGTTTTACTCCTGGAACATGAATTTGGGTTAATTCTCTAAATATTAGATGCCCCACTCCTGTTTGGAAGCCTTTAGTGTAAATTGGTCAGTAAATAATTATTTTGACCGTCTCTCCTTTAGGAGTTTCTAAGTTAAATCTAAATAAGGATGACCATCTGTTGCAGTGACTCTTCATCTCATAGATATTATCTAACCCTTGTAATTTTTTTTAAGAAGGTTGGAAAAAAAATTTGTTAACTATCTAGCTTCGGCATGTTTAATGCGGGCTGCAAGTTCGCCGCCACTAATCTATCCCATTTATGTAGGTTTTTTTTGTATCTCTCTGTGTGTACAAGATGACCCCATCATCATGCACCTCACTGGAGTCCTTTGCTTATAAAACTGATGCCCTGTAACATAACATAATATAACATGTAGGAGCAGGAGTAGGTCATTTGGCCCTTCGAGCCTGCCCCGCCATTCAGTCATGGCTGATCTTCTAATCTAACTCCAGCTAATAACCTAACCCTGCCTTATCCCCATATCCCTTAATCCCTTTTGCAATAAGAAATCTATCTCAGTCTTGAATATGTTCAAGGACTGAGCGTCAACAGCCCTTTGGGTAGTGAGTTCCATACATTCACCACCCTTTGAGTGAAGTTCTTCCTCAACTCAGTGCGAAAGGGCTGTCCTCTGATTTTAAGGTTGTGAACCATGGTTTTAGTTTCTCCAACCAGAGGAAACAATCTCCCACTATCTACTCTATCATGCCCTTTGATGATCTTATAGGTTTCCATAAGATCCCCTCTAATTCTTCTGTATTCTAGAGAATATAGGCCCAAATTTGTCAGGCTATCCTCGTAACTCATCCCCTTCATCCCTGGTACTAACCTAATAAATCTACGCTGCACCCCCTCCAAGGCAAGTATGTCCTTCCTTAAATAAGGAGACCAAAACTGCACACAGTATTCCAGGTGTGGTCTCACCCGGGCCCTATACAATTGCAGCAAGACTTCCCTACTCTTATACTCTATTCCTTTCATAATGAATGCTAACATACCGTTTGCCTTCCTAATTGCTTACTGCACCTGCAGACTAACTTTCTGTGATTGGTGTACAAGGACACCCGAGTCCCTCTGGACACTAACACATTCCAATCTCTCCCCTTCTAAAAAATAACCCGCTCTACTGTTTTTGCTACCTAAGTGGATGACTTCACACTTCCCTACATTATACTTCATCTGCCACCTACTTGCCCAATCACCTAACCTATCTATGTCTCGCTGCATTTTTTCCAATCCATGGGGACTGTTCCAGAATCCGAGGAATTTTGGAAGATCAGACATAAGGCCTCCACTATCTCATAAGTTACCTCTTTTAAAACCCTGGGATGCAAGCCATACGGACCAGGGAATTTGTCACTTTTTAGTCCTAACAGTCTCCCTAACACCAATTCTCTACTAATGAAAATGTCCCTAAGTTGCTCCCTGTCCTTATCCCCTTGCTGCATCTCTATTGTTGGCAGACTTCTTGTGTCTTCTCGGGTGAAGACAGATGCAAAGTACCCATTTAGGGACTCTGCCATGTCCTTATCCCCCATTACAACTTCCTCTCTCTCTGACTGAAGTGGACCTACATTTACCCTGACTAGCCTATTCCTCTTAATATATTTGTAAAAACTTTTACAATCAGACTTAATGTTCCTAGCTAGCTTACCCTCATACTCCTTTTTCTCGCTCTTAATAAGTTTTTTAGTTTTATTTTGCTGGTTTCTAAAACTCTCCCAATCTTCAGATTTGCTGCTTTCTTGGCAGTTTTATAAGCCTTTTCTTTTAATTTGATGTGGACTTGCTTGTGGAGTAGACTGGCCAGCTTCCTTCCTGCTCATGTGCACTATGCATCGAAAGCCAACTGGTTCACGCTGGAAGTGGTACCAGTGGTGATCTGATGACCCAGAGGTGGGACTGGTAGTGATTTGTTTTTGCAGATTTGTTGTAGAGCTATGTCTAACTTTGTGGGACCCAAAACTTACCCCTCACGCTGCTGAAACACTGGTCCACGCCTTTATCACCTCAAGGCTGGACTAGGGAACTCTCTCATCGCTGACCTTCCCGGCACCTCCCTCCACAAGCTGCAGGTCATTCAGAACTCTGCAGCTCGTGTACTGTCCCGCACCAGGCTTCGGGACCACATCACTCCCACCCTCGCTCGCCTCCACTGGCTCCCCATCCCCCAGAGGATTGATTTCAAGATCCTCATCCTCACCTACAAGGCCATTCACGGCCTTGCTCCCTCCTACCTCTCCGACCTACTATCCCCCTACTTACCTGCCCGTACCCTCTGTTCCTCTGGCTCCGGTTTGCTCCATATCCCCCGCCCTAACCACCCTACCATCGGTGGCCGGGCCTTCAGCCTCTCAGCCCCTATGCTCTGGAACTCCATCCCCCAGTGCCTTCACCTCCCCTCACGATTCTTTACCCCCTCCTCGCTCCCTCCCTTCCCTCCCCCTGACCATTTCCCCCCCTGCTTGGGTCCCGACCCAACTGTCCAGCGCCTTGGGCCGTCCTCTCGATGTGAAAGGTGCTCTATAAATGAAATCTTGTTGTTGTTGTTGGGAGTTACAACAACAACAAGATTCCATTTATAAAGCGCCTTTCACGTCAGGAGGACGTCCCAAGGCGCTGCACAGTTGGGTCATGACCCGAGCAGGGGGAAATGGTCAGGGTGAGGGGAGGGAGCAAGGAGGGGGGAAATGGTGAGGGAAGGGAGGGAGCGAGGAGCGGGGAAATGGTCAGGGTGAGGGGAGGGAAGGGAGGGAGCGAGGAGGGGGAAGAGAGTCGAGAGGGGAGCTGAAGGCACGGTCAAAGAGAAAAACCCTGTAATTCTGCTCCTTAATGTACACTTTGCCTCTCATTTAAACTTTCCAAATTGTTCTTTTTCTAGGTTCTCCTCCCTACGTCACTAGGTCCAGCGATGGAACTGATGAATATTACTATTACCTGAATGTCTGTGGAGAAGTAAAGGCTGGCAACTGTAATGATCAAAGGGGTTTTGTATCCTCTTGTCAAGTTAAACACGATGGAACTTTAAGTAAGGTTGCAGGGAGGTTTCAAAATCAGACGCTGAGGTATGAATATGCTTTAACAGCCAGTTTATTGTTACTGAATTAGAATCATGTGGAAATGCTATGAAGTGATCATGAAAGTTTTTAGGATTTTGTTTTTAGCATTACAGGTCCCATATGATATGTAAACTACAGTATTCCAATAAGACTTGAAATACGTTCTGCTTTATCTGTCCATATTATTCGAGTCCATACTTCCCCATTCAGCTTCCTCCCTAGAGTGTAATAGTAAATGATGGAATGGGCTGACATGTGGCAGATGGATTTCAATGTGGATAAGTGTGAGGTGATACACTTAGGTAGGAAAAATGATAGGAAGCAATATAGACTTGGTAGCTCAATCTTAAGGGGGGTGAACGTACAGAGAGATCTGGGTGTTCAAGTAAGCGAATCATTAAAGGTAGTGGGGCAGGTAGATAAGGCAGTAAAAAAGGCATTTGATGTACTGAGCTTTATTAGTAGGGGCATAGAGTATAAGAGTAAGGAGGTTATGGTTAATCTGTACAAAACACTGGTTAGGCCTCAGCTGGAGTACTGCGTCCAGTTCTGGACACCTTACTTCAGGAAGGACATTAAGGCACTGGAAAGGGTGCAGAGGAGATTCACGAGAATGATACCAGGAATGGGGAACCTTAGCTATGAGGACAGGCTGGAAAAGTTAAGACTTTTCCCATTAGAGCAGAGAAGGTTACGCGGGGACCTGATAGAGGTCTTCAAGATCATGAAAGTTTTCGACAAGCTAGATAGGGAAACGCTGTTTCCGCTGGTAGGTGTGTCTGTGACTTGTGGTCACAGTCTTAAGATATCTACCAAAAGAAGCAGAGGGGAGGTTAGAAGAATTTTTTTCACTCAGCGAGTTGTTCGAATTTGGAATGATCTGCCTGAAAGGGTAGTGAAGTCCGATTCGATAACAGCTTTTAAGAGAGAACTGGATAGGTATCTGGGGAAGCTGGGTTTGCAGGGTTATGGGGAGAAAGCTGGTGATTGGGGTTAGTGAAAATGACTTGCTCTGTCAAAGAGCCGGCACGGACTCGATGGGCCGAATGGCCTCATTCTGTGCCGTAACATTCTATGAAAAAAATCTATGAAACTCAATTTGCCAAGATGGAGAATAAACATGGCTGTAGTGTTTTGATGTTTGATACCTGTGCAACTTTCCCTCTGTTCTCAATAATCACTCCCAGGGCTAATGCATCAGCTTTGGTCACTGTTGTCTGTAGTTTCTTGTTCTGAGTTTCTCTCTGTTGTTAAATGCATTTTTTTAATTGTCCTTACCTTTTAGTTTAAATAAACTTTGATGTGCATTGTTTGTGACTCCTATAGCACTGCGACAACTTGTTTGCATTTTTGCATGAGAGGTGCATATATAAATCAATGCAAGCTGTTGTAGATGAAATTGCAGATGTGTAATGTGAAATGAGTTCTACATCTCATACTGGAGCTACCTATTTAAGAAAAAATGTTCTGCATTACCAGGTATTCAGATGGTGACCTTACATTAACCTACACGGATGGAAATTCGTGCAGCTCTGGATTCCGGCGGATGACTATAATAAACTTTCATTGTAATGAATCAGCTGGTAAGGATAATATCTGGAATGTGCTACTGACCCACATTAATGGTCTGATGTGTTTGTACAAATTAATGGTCTGACTGTCTCACTTGGCAAGGAAGACTATTTGAGCTCCAATTTGTTTCCAATTCATTTGATTGAGACTGTCCATATCCAGTGATGGATCATTTTTAAGTATGCATTTTCTCATGAAGAATGCAAACTATAATGACAAATGTGAAATATTCTCATGATAAAGTATTAATTTATGAATACTTTTATCATGCAACCATTTCTTGATTTCTCATTCTTTAAAGTGGCCAATGCCATGAGCTCCTTAAATTGAAAATCCTATTTTGCTATAACTGTCATTATGGAACTAGTTTGGACTTTAGACCTGTTTTTGCTCTCGGAATTGGTTTTAGGTTTCAACAAATCTGCTGTACATTAGTTGATGCTTACTGATGAGTTTCATTCACTTGTAACTTGAACATTTAAGTGGTAATAGTGAGAGTTCATGTAATGCATATTTCCAGTGAACTGGGCTTTGTACAACAAAACTAGGTGTCAATCATGCAATATCTTTAAGACCAACAATTGGGAGTTTTTTGCATATGTATTCCAGCTATGAGCACCTGCTCAGACATGTATTAACTGCCTTGATTCTGACCTTTTTCTGCAGATAATAAAGGCAAAGGTGGTCCAGAATTTGATACTGAAGTGGATTGTACATATATCTTTAACTGGGGAACAAAGTATGCATGTGTCGAACAGAAAAACCTCGTTTGTAGGACTTCTGATGGAAAGAAACATTATGACCTTTCACGTTTAACAAGATATTCGGGTAAGATTTAATAGTCCTTTCAAGATTGGGTGCAGAATTTTTGTTTTGCTGCACTGTTTAATTAAACTTTTCTAATATCCCAACAGATCAACTTTAAGGTAGTCATCCTGTCCTTCAAAATCCTTTTGTTTTACACTCTGTCTGATTTGACTCCTCCAGCCCTCTTTTCATTCCCTTCATTCTTCTGACTCCACACTAATTGTTCCTCACCTCCTCACTTTTACCATTTCAGCCTTTAGCCAACTGCTCTCCAGAACACTCCCCTAAACCAGTTTGCTTTGTGCCTTCTCTCCCTTCCTTCAGAACACTCAATCCTTTGATCAATCATTGGGCAACGCCCTTATATTCTCCTCTGTGCTCATCTTTATTAGTGTATTATCTTTGCCAAGTTCTATGGGGAGTATTTTAAGATGTTAATCCTATGTGTAAAGCTTATATGGCCAAACTGTTTTCTTATATTAATGGTTTCAAATGCTAGTATTTCTGTTTATCGTGCAGCTGTGGAAGTTGCTGAGTCTGACAGTACACACAACTGGGAGGCAGTGTACGGTAGTAAGGGCACACCTAACCGAAGGCAGCTCTACATTAATGTATGTCACCAAATACTTCAGGATGGGGGAGCCGTGGGATGTCCTGACGATGCAGCAATCTGTGCCATTAGTAAGTAAAAACGCTGTGTCTTTATGTTGGATCTAATTCATCGTATCAATCTTGGTCTTAACAGACACAAAATCAGTTGTATTTATGTAAGAAATTCTAAATGTTGCAATGTTTGTATTTGCATTTGTAGCAGCATATATAATTTGTGAAAGTTTCCATTCTGCATGTCCCTCGCTAATGTCGAGTATTCACCAGAACCGGAGAAATGTTGGTGACATTTATGATCAGTAAATGGTGAGCAATGCAAACAAATATTTAGTTTATTGTATCCAGAATTTATTTTATTGCATTTATCACTGAATCAAAGAAAATTTACAATGCAGAAGAAGGCCATTTGGCCTAGTGAGTCTGCACGGACTCTCAGAGCAAGCTGTTCTTTCAATCCCACTGCCTATGTTAATGAATAGATTGTTTGTAAATGTGCTGTGAGGTTAATTCATTCCATTTTGTCGAGCTGCCTTGGAACTAAAGGAATGCATTGTTCAAAAGTCAATAGAGCTTAACTTTGTAAATTCAAGTTCATATAAAAAAATGGTGCTATATTGGTATTAGATGTTTACTTTAGTTATTTGCTGAATTCCTAGTTGAGGTTGTATTTTTGCAGACTGAAGTGGGTTTAAGAAACAATGGCTTCCTTCTCCAGTTATGGAATAACCTTGTCTATTCAAAACAGTACTGGGAAACAAATTCATATTCTGCTTTAATGCCGTTTTATAATCTATTGATCCCAGTTTATTCATCCACTCAAGAATCCTCTGAAAATAGACTGTGTGAAGTATTACCTGATATGAAATTTGGCCCAATGAACATCAAACTTGTCTAGGGCAGGTACCAGGCAGTCTCTTTGCACAGCTGAAGTGGGTTGCCAAGAAGGTTGGTTGAGGCTAGGACACCAGAGTTGTTTGAGCATCATTGTTTTAGAGGTAAGAGGATAAAGGAAGGAATTCTGGAGGTATGAGAGCAAAATGGGATGAAGAGCCTTTACCTGAAACTTCTCTTCTGATCACAATGTCTAATTATTTTTGTCTTCTCATGTTTTAGGTGGGAGTCAAAAAAAGAGTCTTGGAAAATTTGTTTCAGCTCCTAAAATAGTTGGCAATAATATTCAGCTCACATACTCGGATGGTGATCTCTGTGACAAACGTAAAAATATTCGAATCAAAACCATCATCACTTTTGTGTGTAAACCTGGTAAGCTTTTCTGTCTTGTTTGACCAATAATGCTACATGACGTGCACATGGCTCATCAGAACATAACTGCTTCAGTGCTTGTTCAGTGCTCATAAAGCAGTATTACAATACAATTTACGTTTATATAGCGCATTTTACATCAGAAGAATGGATGATGGATAGGTGCTAAAGAGGGTGAGGAGGGGTCAGATGATCGAAAGTGTAGCCAAAGAAGTATGTATTCCAGCAGTAATGACGAGATTCGTCTTTCAGGGGAATTTTCTGATGGGAAGAAAATAGCGTGTTAGAAGGGAATATAGAAAATTACCTAATTTAATCCAACATTAGGAATTAATTATACCAAGTTGAGTCTATACCTAGATCTATTCATGATTGTGTTAAATTATATTCATTTTTATTAAAGTGATGAACAGGATATTTCCTTATTCTTGCTATCTTTATCACCTTATGAATCCCAGTTAAGGTAAAGTGTAGCCATGTGCAATGAAAAGTTTTGTTTTTCCCATACTGCTTAACCTTCAATGTCAGAATTGCTCCCAATTTCATTTGTGGGATTTTTATCTCCTGATTAGCCCACAGAAGATGTTGCAACCTTTGAGTTGAGAGTTTTAAAGGCACCTCTCAAACTGTTCTTCTTTAACTATGCTTTTGGTCGTTTATCTCCCAACCCCAACTCAGACACTCACCCAGCATTGATGAGCACTTTGAGATATCCTGCTGACACGAAAGGTGCTATGTAAATTGCAATTAGTTGCATAATCTTTGTAGTTAAAATAGTGCCATATTGCATCAAAACATCCTTATGGTGTTTCAGTGTTTTTTCTGTAAAGTGTAGTAATCGGATGTTTGTCGGTGAATATAGTAGCCAACTTGTGCTCAGCATTTCCCCATAAATGGAAATGAAGTGAATGACCAATTTTATTTGGAGATTGGTATTCTAGGACATCAGGAGAAATCCCCTTTTTTCAAATAGTCCTGATCTATTTTCAACAACCACCTCAACAGGCATATAGGGCTAAGTCTTAGCTTCTCATCTGTTGTTAAGAAAGAAAAGAGGGAGGGATTTGCTTTCAAATATTGGAATAAAGTGATTTTTTTTCTTTTGTATTTTAATCTAAAAGGCCTCATTTGCACTTTGTATAATGGAAACAGATAAACAATTTATTTTCTTAGACCTAAAGCAACTATTCTGGGTGGAATGTGGACAGTTTTGTGGTCATATTTTCATACCTGATTCATGAATGATCAACTTCCCAGCTATACCATCTACTTGTTGGGGCATTGCTGGTTAATTACTTCTCTTCACAACTTTGAATCATTGAACACTGCAATGTCAGGCCAGATGCCAAGTTGAAATCTCTTTACTCTGACCCAATTTACTTTGGCTCCAATCTCTTTTTCTACAAGTATCAATTGTTTTAGTTTCTGTAGCAGACGATCAGTTTAGTACTAAAATCTGCTCTGTTTTGGGCCTGAAGTCACTCTGGATTTTTACAGCCAACAACACAATTACATTTGTATAGTGCCTTTCACGTCGGGAGGACATCCCAAGGCCTGGTCTAAACTCTTGAGATTGATGCACACCATCTTTTGTGGATAGATATCATGCTAATACTTCTGTACTTGCTCAAATATGATATGAAACTATTTTGCGGTTTTCAGTTGATAGTGATTTGTCTTTGCATAATAAAGTTTTCTCACTCCACAGGGGATCTGGAGAGGCCTCCTATTGTAAAGAACTCTGAAACTGATAGCTGTTTATATGAAATTGAATGGCACACTGCTGCTGCTTGTGTCCTATCAAAAAAACAGGGAGATCACTGTAGGGTTTCAGATCCAGAGGCTGGTAAGTCATGCTTGCGTTTGAATTTTGTTTTTCCAATACATATTGATGTCTTTCAATAGTTTGGGTTTCAACGGCTTTGTTTTTAAATGTTCAGGCCTCACCTACAACTGTTTTGCTGAATGACTTAAATTTTTAATCCTACGTCTTCTGTAAGATCCATAGACTTCAAATTCTTTTCTTTTTGATCTTTGAGATCAGGTAAACTGAAGTATTTGTTAAGCCATGATTCTATTTCAGTGGATGATGAGGCCACTTATAGCATATAGCAAAGCTACGTCAGTATGTAATATTCAGAAGCTTGCAAGGCGTTCCCTGGTACTTGCTTTCCACCTAATGAGGTGAAATCTGCACTTGCCGTATATTAAATGACCAACTAGTGATTATCCTCTTTGGGGAGAATGGTGCTAAACTGTACTGCAACTGAGCTGCCTCCAAGGTGACATGCTTGTCAACAGAATGTTGGAATTGAGTCAACCCTCTGTGCGATCTCAGTAGTTCAGTTTATGAATCAGGTGGGTCGCAGTACTCTAGGCCACTGCTGAAGACAGATGAGCCAGCCTCACCCAGCAACAGGACCAGCCAGAATTCTTCCCACTTGGCTCCTGTTAAGAGTGCAAGCCAAAACCCTAACTGGTAGGGTGGTCCTAACTGAACAAGCAGTGGAAAGCCGAGCAGACAATGTTGATGGCAAGCTATGTAGTTTAGGATGGTTTTTAGCATGTCATACTGACTAAAACATTTTTTTAAATTGGTCAAACACCCCATAGTGGTTTGTGGACCGTTAGTGACGCATGTCTGCTCCATGACGATATTTGTAAATGGGTTTGAGATGTTATGAACGTTCTATAATTCAAACTTTTTCTAATTTTGATTGTCAAATTGGAAAAAAATGAAGTTATAATTATTTATTGTTATTTAATAATTGGTGTCCCAAAAAGAACTGATGTTTGAAATTTGGCTAGGCTTTTTCAGGTTACAGTGGTACAGTACAAATTCCCAAATAGTCCCATTCAATTGACATTTTAGTTGTGACCTAGTAATATTGACTTTGTACAAATGGAATGTTCGATTGCTAAGTTGGGATCAATCTGGTTGCTAGTTTAGTGTAAGCTTTTGTCATCTTCTAGAGAGAAGGGGAAATTGAGTGTGTTGCTTCAGCATTTTGATTGCATTCTCTACTCATTCACTGTTCAAAATTGTTTTTTATTACAATAGGCTTTTCACTTGACCTTTCACCACTGACTAAACTGGGAACTGCATACGATGTTACTACTCCAAAATACAACTTCTATTTAAATGTCTGTGGTAATGTATCACAGGAGTTGTGTCCACCCAATGCTGGTGCCTGTCAGGTAGATTCAAGGTAAGCATTTCAAATTTACCAATGACATGTTTACACCTGATATCATTTGGAGCTCTGGTGTGGGCTGTGATGCACTAAAAGCAAAGTGTTATCGACCATTCAAGAAATTTAACTATTAATTACCTTTCCACTATTACATCAGCTCTTCATACTTCTAGACTGAAATTGGTGCTTTGTATACTGATATTCACTTAGGTGCCCCTAAATACAAATTGAGTCACATTTTCTTTAAAACGTGTTCTAATACTTAATGTCCATTATTTAGCAATAAGAAAGCTTGGAACCTAGGATTCTTCAACTCCAAGCTGACATACTATGATGGGATCATTCATCTGACCTATACAAATGGAACACCCTATAACAGCGTTCAACATACTCAGCGTTCCACGCTCATAACGTTCCTGTGTGATTGGGATGCAGGAGTAGGGCAGCCTGAATTTCAGGTGAGAATTTAGACTATCCTACATTAAGTTAGCATTGTAGACTTGGGTTTGGATCTAGCCAATGATGAAATTAAAATCCTGACTGCTGTTACGGTCTAGTTTGGGGCACTTCAAAAGGAGATGTGCGCAGATACAAACCTGCTTCCAGTTTGGTACAGCTTAATTATCCAAGGATGATGTATGGTCTGTGTTGGTATAATGTGATGGGAACGATTATACCAAAATTTCAAACCTAAAATGTTGCAAATTTAGGATGTACTGAATAATATATCTCAGAAGTACTACTTCCTGTATTTAAACTAGTAGGGTTTCTTCCACTCATTTTCAAACGGCAACCAGTTTGTGCCAGTGCTGAATATTTTGGAAAGGAGTGTTGTCAGTTGATAGTGTTTTGAGGGCTTGTTACACTTAGACCCCTGAGGGTACAGAGAGAGATCATATTCCTGCATGATTACAAGATTGTGTGAGGATATGAGCTCATGCTTCCAGAATACCAACCCTACCTGTTATAATATTGAGCCAATTCTTAAACAGATTGTTTCCTGACTTCCTGACCCTTTCTGGTAATATGTTCCATTGGTAATGTGTTCTAGCGATTTAGGCCGACTTGTACCTGATGTCTCAAAGATGGAGAAAGAGTGTTCTAACTCAAGTCTGTAGTGCTTGCATCTCAAAACGTAATGAAAATTTACCAGTTTTTCGTGTCTGAAATGTGCTATTTTAATTTTCCTGCCCAATGAGACTGTTCCAGATATTTTGTGCCTTGCAAACAAGTTTGCAATCTGCCCTTGTGAATACCTCAACAATGAGTGGATAGCTGTGCTTTGCTGCTAGAAAAGAGAGTGCTATAACTTTATCGTCCAGCTCATTCAAATGCACCTCTTATAATATGGCAACTGTACTCTGAAAATTGGCATCTGTTGGTTAAAACAGCTGGACCAAGTTCTTTTATTCCATATCTTCATTCTCACATCTTCGCATCATAGGATTAGGTCCACCGCAATCTTCAGAGAATATTGGAAAAGTTAGTGAAACTGGACTCCAATTCCAACAAATTGGCCTTGATCAATAATGAAACCTGTTTGTTTCTTTGTTTCATTTCATCTTACAATTTCAAACTAATTATCTGCTTAATAGCTTTGCACACATTGACACTTTAGTCCTTGGTTGGAAAAAAAACATTGTGTGCAGCAGAAATTAATTTTTCTCAAGTGCAAATGTATCAATTTATATACATTGATTTATAGGTGACCCCTTTGTTTTTAAGAGATTGTACTATTTCAATTTTCCTGCCCAATGAAAATTGTTTTGTTACAATGGGCACTGTTTGCTTACTATTTGATAACATAAATTCCAAATTCAGAAGTGGTATGTGTTTTTAAATAAAAGACTATGCAAACTTTGTAAGCAGTATCTCATCATAAAAATCTTGAGGTCTTAAATCTTTAAACCTTAGTTGATTCCTCCAATTTCTTGTTATTCCTGAAGATGAAGCAGAACTGTATTTCATTTGCATAGAAATGTGACAATTTGCACATTCTTTGTGAAATGCATATCATATGATTCCTTTTATGTGGGACTATGGAACAAATGTACCAAACTCAAAACTTGTCCTTTGTACTTTTAACTGTGTCCTTTGTCTGTATCCAGTAGGTGGTTGTTCCTATTTGGCTTACAATTTGGGCAGAATTCCTTGAGTTAATACTACATTTGACAACATTTAATTTTTTATTAGGAGGAAGACGACTCCACTTACAACTTCAAGTGGTACACCAGATATGCCTGCCCTGAGGTGCCCCTAGAGTGTATAGTGACTGATGAGGAAAACAAACAACAGTATGACTTGTCAAGGTGAGAGTACTGCAGTACCACTTTATTTACATATTTTCAAATTGCAGCTTGGAAAAAAGTTTGACTCTGTTTGGTTAGGATGTCTGACAGGCACGTGTTTGTCTCCAGTTCCCATTACTGAGAATTCAAAGAAGGAGAATTTTTGTTTGTCATCTTAAATGCAGAGAACCATGTACAGCCTTTTTTTGGTCGGAGGTGAGGTAATGAGTCTAACCAGAGTGTATATTTTTTATCAGTCATAACATTTCAAATAACTTGAGGGAAAGTCCAATTGCAATTCTTTTCTAGTTTTTTTTTAAAAAGGTTTTACTTCTGAACTTCCAAATGTTAAGCTGTGCTACATATATTGGAATGTAAAGCACACAATAGTCATTACATCTTCTATCTGGTGTATGAGTCTGCTGTAGCAGGTCTGAAAATCTTGATGGTTTTCACCTTAAGATTCTGCTAAAAATTAGATTATACATTTTGGAAAATTTTTAATTTCCTTGGATCCTAATTTGGCAGCCATCTAAATGTTAAAAATCTGATCTTATGGCTCACACCAGAAGGATTCCTCAGGCCTATATTGTAATGTTATTGCAGATTCAGTAGCTCAGGAGGGTCTCTAGTGGTAATAACTTGAAATGTGCAATTTACATAATCCTTTCTGTACTGAGATAATTAATTGATCGATCCCTTTTATATTTGGCAAGTAGTGAAATTTGTTGCATTAATTTCTTGATTTTCAACTTATCCAAATAGCCATTAAGTATCCATAAGGAATTCAATATGGGAAGGACATCGCCACTCAACCTGACCCTGTTCTTGCTGTTGAAGTCCGCATGTGCAGATTTTTGGCTGACTATTTACAGATTTTGTTCATTGTCCCCACATTTCAGTTGGATGTTACTCTGAGCTAATGCTTTGTAAAATGTTTCATCTCAGTTTATCCAAGTCTGAAGACAAGGATGAAAGCAACTGGTATGCCATGGACACCACTCCAAAACAACATAAGAAGTATTACATTAATATCTGCCGACCTTTGAACCATGTCCAAGGTTGTGACCATTATGCAGCAGTTTGCAAGATGCGATATGAAAGTGAATCGGTAAGTATATATTATCTCTGGAATCTCTGCCCCAATCTCTTCACCTTCCCCTCTCCTTGCCAGTCAGATTGCATCTGAAGACCCTCGTTTTTGGCTTTGCCTATGGTTGCCTCCTCGTCTCGCTTTCAAGCTCTGTCACTATTAAGCGCTCTAACACTAACGTGCTTGAATGCTCTATAATAAATGCATGGTGGTGTTGGCATTTTGACTGTTTTGCCCCCCCCCACACACCTTCCTCAATTCCCTCACCCCCAAAACACGTCAGCTCAAAATTTCCAGTCAGCTCTGTGAGACTGAGAGATCTTCCCAGTATGAAAGACGCTAAAACCCTAGTCCATGCCTTTGTCACCTCTCGGCTGGACTATTCTAATGCCTTCCTTGGCGGTCTCCCATCCACTACCATCCATAAAAGCCAGATCATTCAAAACTCTGCCGCCCGCATTCTCATCTGCACCAAACTCCGCTCCCCGATCACCCCAGTCCTTGCCAGACTGCACTGGCTGCCTATCCCGAAGAGGATCGACTTCAAGATCCTCACCCTTGTATTCAAATCCCTCCAGTCCTCTGCACCCCCTACCTCTCTGATCTCTCTCCTCAAAACAGTACCTGTTGTCTTCGTTCCTCCGGGTCTCGCCTCCTCCTCGTCCCCTGAGTCCTCCGCTCCACCCTCGGCGGCTATGCCTTTAGCCACTATGCCCCGAGGCTCTGGAATTCCCTTCCTCACTCCCTTAGTCTCGCTCCCTCTCTTCCTATTTTCAGGTCTCTGCTGAAGACCTTTCTCTTCGACCACGCCTTTGGTCACCTTCCTCCCCATTCCCTTGGCTCGGCCCCAGGATCCGTTACTGTGAAGCGCTCTGAGACGCCGTCCGGCGTGGAGGGCACTATATAAATCCAAGTTGTTGTTGTTGAAAGACACTATATAAAATTATTGTGGTTTACAGAAGAAAGAATATACATAAGGGATCTATGGGATATTGTAAACCTCTCTGAATACTGGACAGCCCACCTCTACTGGACAGCTAGCTTTGCCTCTTAAGTACCGAGCCTGGATTATCTTTTTAAAAAAATCCCTACTTTCAAAACTACATCTGTAAAACATTAGTTCTTAATACAGTCTGCAGTGACCAATTTCCAACCACTTGTGTTTAGATCAACCCAAATAGTCTCAAAAGTGTTTAACATTTAAAAACAAATTTATACCTCAAACCCAGTGTGACCTAAGCACTAAATCGACTTTCTTCACCAAATATTCAGCTGTATTTACAATTGCTGTATAAACCTTCACCAGTTTCTGAGCAACATTTTTCTCTCCCCCATCCCATGAAATCAATTACTTTTTGTTTATCTGTGACCAGGGCTCCCTCTACCTCTTCATCCTTCACTACCGTTGACCACTCTATCCTCCTCCACCACCTCTCCTCTCGCCTCAACCTTCACAGTTCTGTCCCTGAGTGGTTCAGATTCTACCTCTTACACCATCTCCATAAACGGTTCTCCTCTAGCCCCCACACCATCTCATTCGGCGTGCTTCAGGGCTCTGTCCTTGGTCCCCTCCTCTTCCATATGTTCATGCTCCCCCTTGACGGCATCATCTGCAAACATGGGGTCAACTTCCACATGTATGCAGATGACACGCAACTGTATCTCTCTGCCTCCACTCTTGACTCCAGGACCACTGCTGCCCTAACAGAATATCTGTCAGACATCAAGTCCTGGATGAGAGCTAACTTTCTACAGTTGAATGTTGCTGGTTTCCGTCAGCACTTCCACACCTCAGGCACTGACAGCATCACCATATTTGGTTGCACACTCCACCTCACTGAGCCAGTCCAAACCTTGGTTTCTTGCTCGACCCTCAACTATTCCTTTCTACCCCACATTTCTGTCATGACCTGCTTTGTCTTCCCCCATCTCCGCAACATCACCCAGCTCCGACACTGCCTCACTCACCCCTCAGGCCGCCGAAACACTCATCCACGCATTCATCACATCTAGGCTCGACTACGCCTACTCCCTGCTTGTGGGTCTTCCCAACTCTTCCCTCCACAAGCTGCATATCATCCAGAACTCTGCAGCTTGTGTCCTCTCCCATACCAGACTCCGTGACCCATCAACAGCACCCTCGACCAGCTCCACTGGCTCCCCATTCCCCAGGGGATAGAGTTTAAAATCCTTGTCCTCGCCTTCAAGACCCTCCACAGTCTTGCTCCTCCTTCTGTGACCTCTGATCCTGTATCAATCTCTCCACTCCCTCTGGCTGTGTCCTGCTCCGTGCCCCCCGCTCGGCCCACCGCACCATTGGTGGTCGGGCCTTCAGCCTTTCTAGCCCCACCCTTTGAAACTCCACCCCACATTCTCTTCACCTCACTCCCTGCCTTGCCTCCATCAAGGTACGTCTCAAAACCCTCCTCTTCGACTGAGCCTTCGGCTGCCCTCACTGCTCTCCAACCTCCGACCCCCAGCTCAGGTCCAAATCCCTGACTGTCCAGAGCCCGGACGTCCTCCTGCTGAGAAAGGCACTATACAAATTTAATATTGTACTTTAATAGCATTAAAGTATTGGAGCTAATGATTTATACAGTGCCAGTATTCATTTGCTGGTTTTGTTGTTTTATTTGTGTTTAGGACATGATTTTTGAGAAAGTGGCCATCAGTAATCTTGGAATTGCCCAAAATGGTCCCAAGCTGGAAGGAGTGGGTCGAGTTCTTTTGGAATATACAAATGGTTCAATATGCTTGAATTCAGATGGCAAAACTCTCTTCTACACTACCCGTATCCATCTGAGTTGTTTAAGAGGTTCAACGGTAAGAATTTGTTCTTTTACCAGACGTCAATTTAACATCAATTGTTATTATGAACAACTGAATGCCTTTTCTCAAAGAATGATGATTGGGTAAAATTTTATCCAGAGTCATATTAAATATTTTTATTCAAAATAATAAATTTCACAAAATTGTTACATTTTTTTTTTAAAAAAGCCCTATTACTGAGAACTCTAACTATCTTAACTTAGTAAAGTTCCACCACAATTTACTTGTATGACGCATCTTTGCAATAGGTTACATACAGGGCAGTTTTCACATCCCTGGAGAAATTTAACTTGATTTAATTTAGCATTTCAATGAATGGTGTGACAAGGAACCATTGCAGCTCACTATCTAATGTGCAGGATACTGTCTTTGAAAATAATGCCAAGAATTTCTTGTGCAATGTAATAGGTGTGATGCACACCCATTTAATTTTTTTTAATATCCTTGTTCACAGTCCACTGGTCCAAGGTTTGTTAATGACATCGACTGTGTGGTCACGTTTTTGTGGGAAACTGAAGCAGCCTGCCCGATCACAACAGCGAAGAACGAGGTAAGAGGTAGAAACGTAAATGCTAAATTGCTAATCTAGAGTTATATTTGATCTTCAAAGCAATCTCATTGTAAAACTGTTGTGAAATCTTCTTTTCAACCATCAAACTGCAAAATCCTGCAAATGTGTTAGGCCTTGTACCTGATAGAAAATTATGTACCAGTCTTCAAAGCTTACACCTGTGGAGTCCTTTACAATATAATAATAATCCTTGAATTTGATATAGCCGCTTTTTCATGTCTTCTAGACGGCTCAAAGTGCTTCACAGAATGTACTGTAAAGTGAATTGACTGTATATTTGTGGGCAAAGCGCGGCAGCCAATTACGCATAGCAGTGTCCCACAAACAGGCGTGGATTGAGTGACCAAATTATTATTTGCTTTGTTGTTTTAGAATATACAAATGGTTTAATATGCTTGAATTCAGATGGCCAGCAGTTCTTCTGCACTACCTGTCTGAGTTGTTTGAGAGGTGCAACACTAAGAATTTGTTCTTTTACCAGACTTCAATTTAGCATCAATTGTTATGAACAACTGAATGCCTTTTCTCAAAGAATGGTGATTGAGTAACATTTTCTCCAGAGCTGTTATTAAATATTTTTATTCAAAATAATAAATTTCACAAAATTGTTATAACTTTTTAAAAAGCATATTAATTAATATTATTATTAATATTCACATCACCATTCTTTGAGAAAAGACATTCATAACAATTGATGCTAAATTGAAGTCTGGTAAAAGAACAAATTCTTACCGTTGCACTTCTCAAACAGCTCATTTTTATTATTACAAGGAAAATAACTTCTCAAAGGGCTTTACTAGATGAAATTAGAAACAAACTCTTATGTAGGCAAATGTAGCATTTAATTTGCAGCCAGCAACATCCTACAACCTGAGATCTACAAACTGAGATAAGTAGTCATTTATTTTGAATTTAGTTGAGGTGGAATTGTAAACTGGATAAACCAATATAACTAGGTTTTACTGAGAGCAGCAGGATGGGTCATTTCCTTAACGTGAATCAAAAGGCAGGCTGGATGGACTGAAAATAATTTGCATTTAATTTGCAGTTTTATGTAGTTAAATATAGCAGCAAGTTTACACCAGTAAAATCTCACAATAATTAAATTGATTTGAATTTTCTGGGATGACTTTTGGGTTAGGGAACAATATTGGCCTGTGGTACATATTTCATTTTACATGATGGTAACTGATAATTTAAAGATAGAAATGGGAGAAAAAAAACATGAGGTAAGAGGTAAGGGGAATTGGAAGATTAAAAATCTTGTGAAACAAATGATTCTAAAACTGATCACTGATGGGCTAAAAATTAAAGTAGTGTGATTAGTTTTAGATTGTACAGTAACAAACTGCTTCTAGATCCTTAATTTGCTTTCTTTGTTCTAAGGTTAGGAAAATTACAGTATGGGGAGAAAAGGCTGATTGCTACAGAAATATTTGTACCACAATTGATCTCTAAAGTTACCAATCATTATTATTGATAGCTTATTGCGAATCGTAATTTGTTGCCTGAAATATTTTTAAAAATCCAGAAAAATTATTATTAATAAAAATGTCACCTGATTCTTTTCTTTCTAGAACTGTTCAGTGAAGGATCCCAACACTGGTTTTATCTTTAACTTTCTGCCTCTGTCTTCAAAAAATGGTTATAAAGTGAGTGGAAACCAAGCAACCTTTAAGGTTAGATACTTTAATATACATCATTTTTGCATTGGATGTAGCACCTATAGATTAAAATCTCATGCGTTGAGTGCTTTGAGATGTCCTTCCAACAGGAAAAATGTGCAATATAAATGTTTTGTTTCTGGAAGGGAAATGCACAAATATTGCTTATGTGGCCCGTGGATATTTCTCATATAGGGTATCTAGCCAGTGATATCCAAAAGGTAATAATAATACTTGCATTTGATTATTTGGCCTTGTGGAGACATCTCAAAGCGCTGGACCACCCTGATGAATACAGCGGTTTCTTGTGGTGGGAAAGTTGATTAAATCTAGGTTTAATGCTGAATAAGATGTTTAAACAAATACCGTTGGTTTGCATCTAAGCATTCTTTGCCAAGTGGGTAGAGTCTTTGTGTAAGTTTATTCCATTCGTCATGTTTTCATTTCAAATTATTGTGAGTTCATATGTCTAGTTTAGTTATTAATTGTCACATTGACGAACTAAGTAATAAATGGTTCCTTTTTCATAAATTGATTCTTTAATTTAAAATTTTGTATTTGTGCTACTCAAGCTTCTCCTGATTTCACTTCCTTTAACCCTTACAGCTTAACATCTGCGGTAGTTTAAGTGAATGTGGGAAATTTGGTGAACAGTCTGCAGCTGGATGTGAGATTGAAAAAAATGCACCAATACGGCAAGTTGCACTGGAAACGGATCTTGAGCTTTCTACTGATGGTCTCATAACCCTCACTTACAAAGGTCCATTCGTGGCAGAAGCAGGTAGGAGCATCTTCAACAGTCTGAATGATGAGTTAACTATTCCATGACCATTATCTGGGCAATAGGCTATGAAAAACCTGACTCACCACTTTAAATTATGTTAAATATTATGAGGGCACTTAATAGGGTGAACAGCGAGAAAGTGTTTCCACTGGCAAGTGGGTCAGTAACCAGATGACACAGGTTTAAAATAGTTGTCAAAAGAACCAGAGGTGAGGAGAATTTTTTTCACACAGTGAGTTGTTTGGATCTGGAATGCATTGCCTGAAAGGGTGGAAGCTGATTCGGTAACAACTTTCAAGAGAGAAGTAGATAGATATTTGGGGAGGACAAATGTGCAGGGCTATGGGGAGAAAGCAGGGGAAGAGGGATTAATTTGGAGAGCTCTTTCAAAGAACTGTCGTGGACATGATGGGCCAAATGGCCTCCTTCTATGCTATACGATTCTATTCTAAATACTTCCAAGCTTCTGAATCATTTGGGGATAATGATATAGTTGCTTTTTGTCTGCATCTTTTACAAATACCCAATGTACAAAAAGTAACATCTAGAAAATTATTGAGAGAAAAATCGCATGCAAATTCTTCCACTATAATTTTTCTTGCCAATATTGATTGCTGTGGTGTTATGAAGTATTCCAGTTATGGAGTATTCCAATTATGAAGCAGTATGGGTTATATAACTAACTGAACTTTTTGGAGCGAAAGATTGTTTTTTTTTCTCCTCAACCTTATGTTGTTGAATGTTCTCAGGGATTCCCTGACTTACATCCATGTTGTTCTTTTGTTGTTGCTCTGAAACAGACCAGAGTCACAAATAATTTTGCTAGGGTGGGCTGCTTGTCTTTGCGTCTTTCAATTTCCCCCATCACTATGAGAAGCAATGACTTGCACAGTTAATCAAACGTGTTGGTTTTTGATTCGTTCTGCACTGGGCTAGGGCTCCCTTTTTTTAAAAAAATCTCAAGTCAGACTTAAGTATGTTTTGGAAAAGAAAAAAGATTCCATTCTTGCTTCAGCAAAATAATTTGATGTACAGGTAACCAAAACGTCATGCCATTACAATGTTTAATAAGTCTTAAAGAAATTATGAATTATTAGGTGATAGGATAGCTGAAAAATAACTTGTTGGTCACCCTGTATACATTAAAACTGGCAACTGAACAGGAGGTTATAGAGATGAACAAATATTTCACAGGGACCACTGACTGACTGGAATTTGGGTTAAGGTTGGGGGGAAAGGAATGTCTAGTTGACATGGGTCAGGTTTGAATGTGCGGCTGCATGATTGATATTTCCAGTTTTAATTTGATTGATTAAGCCCTTGTCACAGTTAATGCTGGTAGTTGATTGCAGCCATGACCCCCTGACTTTCATGGATTTTAGCAAACCATACTGGGAAATGTTTTCTAAGGAGTAGGAAAACTGTCTTGTTTGCTCATCCCTTGCCTCTCCTAGCCTTGTTGCATTGGTGCCAGCTGCATCCGCTCAATTCCTACCCAACTAAAAGCTTCCTCAGCATGAACTGAAAATAAAATCCTGGGTTTTTATTTGGTCTCTGTCTTTTATTGCAAACTGCTACGCCTTAATCCATTTATCCATTACAAAGCCACCTATGCTTTTGTCCTTGTGCAAATAAATAAATGCTCTTAATCTGAGAATTCATTGTTACTTTCCTGTGCAGGGACTCAGGATAAATTCATTATCCGTTTTGTTTGTGATCCTGATTCCTACCCTGGGACACTCAAGTTTCTGCGTGAAGAAATTGGTGTTGCTCTACATGTGCATGACACCTACTTTGAATTTTACACAGCATTGGCTTGTTTCCCAGCCCCCGTGGACTGTCTTGTTAGTGGTAAGTCTTTGATTTCGGTCTTGTATGATTCAGTAGTGAATTGTTTATTTTCCAATTAATACCATCCTGTAAGTTTTTCTTAGTGGGTCTAAATAGTTCTTTCTCATTCTTTCCTTCCTCTGCCTCACAAGACTCATGTTCATCCATTCTCTTAGTAATGGATATGTGCAACGTTCTTCAAAATCAAGTATGCAAACTTGATTATGCATGGTATATGTTCATAACCATGCATAATATTCATGTAAAAAGGTGTCATTTTGACAATCTGAGAATAACTGAGCATAATTATTCAATGTTGATCTTAATTTTAGTTTTCAGAGCATCGAAACTCAGTTTAGAAAGTGCAGACACTGCCTTAGTGAATAGATCACAACATCTTCTTTCCAAATGTTTTGCCATTTTTGAATCCAGGCCCAACCAGCTTGAGCTGTTATTAAACAATCAAATAGTGTCAGTGCTGAAAACCTTCAGAATATATTGGGGGCGATATCCATTTGTTTCAAAACTATATTGGCCCAAGAAAATAAATCCATAAATTGGTTTCAAAACAAGTTTGGTTCACTTCTGATGATTAGACTTCCAAAAGTAGGTTCTGGTTGTCGCAACCTTGCAATGTTTTTGTGTTTGTTATCCCTACCTACGAAAGTAGACATTAAAAAGGGCACGTTATAGTATTTGAGTCGTGTAACTCAGTGGTTAGAGCACTCACTTCTCAAGCGAGAGACCTGGGTTCGATTCCTGGCAGCATGAAACCTTGGGCCTGTTTTCTTATTCCACACGCCTGATAATAATCCCTCAAAAAATCAATAATAAATTGGTCATTTCAATCCACGACTGTTTGTGGGACACTGCTGTGCGCAATTGGCTGCCGCATTTTGCTCACAAATATACAGTCGATTCACTTTACAGAACATCTGTGAAGCGCTTTGAGACGTTAAGAAAATGTGAAAAGCGCTAAATCAAATGCAAGGATTGTTATTAATTTATTTCCCTTATAAATTGTATCAACGTGTTTTACTTTTTTTTCCTTCTGATTTCTTAATCTTCATTTAAGGGTCACTATTATGCTAATAACAATGCTGCTTTGCATTGTTCTGCAGATTGTTCAGTAATTGAAGATGAAATGTGCATAAGTCATCCTGTGATACTGTTCCATCCCTTCTATTAGCAGCATTGCTAAACCTCAATCTTGGGAAGTGAGTGGTCTGGCAAGATGACAAACTGACATTTATTGTCAAAGAACTTGCAGCGCCAAGGCTCACTTAGATTAAATTATTTTCAAAATGTCCCCTTTTCCTGGCCAATCCACAGTTTGAAGATAAAGCTATGGAAGTTGGCGTGCTACTTAGTCGGTGGTTAACATCTATTAATAGTTAGTGGCCTTACTTGGAGTTGAGCTTTGAAAAACCTCGCCCCTTTCAGCAAAGTTGTGGTCGTTCTGTTGCAAAATGTGATCTTGCAACTTGAGAAAATAATGCAAGCTGGATTTTGAACTTCTTTTTATTGCTTTGAATATTTATTTTTCCTTAACTCCATTTAGACATCTAGCGTAGCACCAATTGAGATTGTTCAAGTTAGTGTTTTCTTCTGGATCAGAGGAATGCGGAGTGAATTCAGATTGCACGAATTGTTCGGTTTGATTCTCCTTTCAGATTCGGCTGGTAATCTGTATGACCTGAGTGACCTTGCAAGAGACCGTAGTCCTTGGATTGCAGTGGATACAACTCAAGATAGGAAAAAACGTACATTTTATCTCAATGTGTGCAAACCTTTACCTCCAGTGCCCGGTTGCCCTGGTGAGTTTCCAATAACGCATGGTTTAAATAGCGCTGTTAGTGTACGTGTGAGCAATTTGATCCAACCTGCTGACTTTATTTTATGAGCTGTTTTATGTTCTTGGTCAGGCAAAGACATCTGATTTCCAATGAACTCTGATATTGTCTTTTTTAAACTCTTGTCCATTCAAATTGAGGGCCTCTCTAGTATTCAGGTTCTTTTGGCACCATTTTACATGGTGATCATCCTGATGACCTAATTCCAGACAGTATTAGGCGCAGGTTTCAGAAGCTGGCTTGGGGTGCAAAAATGTGCATTGTTGTGCTGCTGAAGTCTAACCACTGTCTGACGAGCTTTCATCCTGTTGCTTGTCCAGGGAGGACCACCTAACCCAATAGGCCTTTGACTTGCAGAGTTAATAAGAGACGAGTGGGAAGAGTCCCTGCCCCTATTGAGCCAACCTGACTGTGCTGTCATCAGCAGTGCCCTGGAATACCGTGGACCTGCCTGACTCAGAACTGGACAAAATGCAAAATACTGCAGATCCTAGAAATGTGAAACAAATCTCTGTTTCAGAACTGGACCACTGAGACAGCCACAGAGGATTGGCTCAATTATGACATTCTGTTGCCAAACATGTCACCTTGGAGCTAGTTGAACTCCAAGGCCACCCGGCTTACACCCCCCTCCCCCCCCCAAAGGAGCATAGTCACCAGGATCTTGACTTTCGAAAAGTGCCAGTTGATCCCTCACTAGTCAAATACAGGTATCAGGAACTTCATGTCTTCTGTAATTTACAGATGTGCTGACTGGCAAAGATTTAGCTCTGACACAAACGCCTCCCTGTGTAATGCATTCCTGGTTACTGACAAATCTTAATATAGTATGTGGCTCTATTAATATAGTATGTGGTTGAAACCCTCAAACATGCTTTCATTACATCGAGACTCGACTGTGCAAACTCATTGCTTGTCGGCCTCCCCAACTCCTCCTTCCGTAGGCTGCAGATCATCCAGAACTCTGCAGCTAGGTTCCGCAACCCTATCACCCCATCCTTGCCCGACTCCACTGGCTTCCTATCACACAGAGGATACAGTTCTAGATCCTGGTCCTCACCTTCAAAACCCTCCATGGTCTTGCTCCCTCCTACCTCTGTGACCTCCTAACCCCCTACCATCCTGCTTGCTCCCTCCGCTCAGCGGGCTTCACGTCCCCCACCTCGCTCACCCTACTATTGGCGGACTCGTCACTCTGCCCCTACCCTCTGGAACTCCATTCCACAATACCTCCGTCTCACCCCCTCCCTTGCCACCGTCAAGACCCTCCTCTTCGACCATGCTTTCTATCTCCCTGCCCCCCCGCACCGCCCGCTCTCCACACTCCCCGATCCCCAGCTTGCTTCTTAACTCTGTCTGTCCAGCGCCTTGGGACATGCTCCCGACATGAAAGGCGCTATATAAGTGTAATTTTGTTGTTGTTGTCGTTCACTCAGTTGCTATTTGAGACTTCTGTAGAATATCATGTATATGATTCTATAAACAAGCCTCTGTAAGGCACATCTGTCAAGAACTAAATTAGTAGTTTATCATAGCACAGAAATGGCAGGAGGAGGGTGGAGATTATAGCCTTTGTTAGGCTATAATAAGTTTAATGGACAACTTCCTGATGATATGGCTGATGGAAATATTTAACAGTAAACTACTAATTCCACCAGTCTATCCTATGGTTTTATGCACTTTGGGTTTACTATCAATTTATCAGCAGATTTAACTAAATTATGATATGTAAAAGTGGAGGTTTTTAATTTAAATCGTTGTCCGACAGGTGGTGCTATAGGATCTTGCGTAAAATATGCTGACAAAAGCCAGAATCTCGGTTATGTTCAGATGAGTCCACAGGCTGGAACTGATGGCTCCCTCAGTATTGTGTACTTAAATGGTGATGTTTGCAAAGCCAACCAGCGATATTCTACACGTATCCTCTTCCAGTGTGATGAAACTGCAGTAAGTTAACTTTTTTTTGAAAATGCGTTTGTTTTTGAGGTTAAATACAGTACCACCTCCGGCGTGGAGAACGCTATATAAATCCAAGTTGTTGTTGTTACTACCTCATCGAGACTGACTTTCCCTCTTCTTCACCCTCCTCCAACTCGATCTCAAATCCTTTCAACAAATTTTAAATGGTAAATTTTGAAATGGTAGTTGAGATGCAATACATTCAACCTTTAACATGTATGTTTTTTTTATTTGGGCAGAGAATCATCTTAAGGTGAATTGTACATGAACTACAGGTGGAGTCCTGTAGCACTCACTTTGCAAGTGAGAGACCTGGGTTCAATCCCAGGCAGGGCGAAACCTTGGGCAAGTTTCCTTACTCCACACGCCTAATAATAATCCCTCCAAAAACCAAAAACAATAATAAATTGGTCATTTTCAATCTATGACTGTTTGTGCGACATTGCTGTGCACAATTGGCTGCAGCGTTCGCCCACAAATATACAGTCAATTCACTTTACAGTGTGTTCTGTGAAGCGCTTTGGGACGTCCTCCCGACGTGAAAAGCGCTATATCAAATGCAAGGATGATTATTATTATTATTTGAACCTGCTGAATTATTTTTGATATTGCAAAACAGAATCTATGCAATTCACATTGTGAGTCACATCACTTCATTTAGTACAGGAGTTTAGAAGATGAGCTCTGCTGAAAGGTAACCCTTTTCTGTGTTTCACTGCAGGGATCCCCTGTATTTGAAGAATCAGATGAGTGTGAATTTCTTTTCGTGTGGAGAACACCAGCTGCCTGTTCGATTGTTCGGGCTAGTGGTAAGCAAAACCTTTAGAGAATGTAGAATGAAGTAAGCTGTGATACAGGAAATATATGGGTTTTTATTGTGTTGTGATTACTTTGAATCAATTCTTGAAGACTTGTAAAAATAAAAAAATCAGACAAAATGCTTTCCCGATGTAAACTGGCCACAATTTCTGCTCGTTTTCTCTGAGTTTGAACACATTCCATTAAAGCTACTTTATAAGAATATTCCTTTTGCTATCCCTTCCAACCCACAGAACAAAGGGGGCCGCTGAGATAATGATGAGTAGAATATAACCTTACAATTCATTTGCAGATCATCAGGGTGGGGAGGGCAGCAGAGAGAAGAAATGCCAAGTTGCTTAAATGGTTACTTTTCATGTTAACCTCATTAATGATAAACTGTTTTCTTAAGATTAACCCACTAAAAACTTAACACAGAAGGTGGTTGCCTTTAGAGTTTTCAATACTTAAAGTGCTTCAAGCTGTTTCAATTTTTACGTGAGAAGTGTATTAATTTGGGATTGACTGATTGGTATGGGAATGTACAAAACCAGAAAAGACAATGTCAAGAAATAAAATTAATTGTTCATTTCACTAACATGCTTATTGGTGTGTGAATCTACATTTAAAAAGAAAATCACCTTGAGAAAATATAGGAACAGGTACATCGGTGAAGGACTTAATATCATAATGAATCTTTGGAAAGGATATCTTTCCAGCAGCATTTTGTAAGGGGTGAACCTGGCAATGCATCCACCAATATAGCTGGCAACGGGTATGCTATAGTGGATTCTTGCATGTTGGAAATGCAAGACCAACCACATTGTCAACCTGGCTTAGTCAGTTGCACTCATCTCAGAGTCTGAAGGTCATGGGTTGAAGCCCGTTGTTGTGACTTTGAGCTCACTGACACTCCAATAGCGTGCCAGAGGTGTGCATTGTCAGAGATGCAGTTATTTGGATGAGATGTGAAACTGAGATCCCGTCTGCATGTTCAGATGGACGTTGAGGATCTCATGGCACTATTCAGAAAAAATAACATTTCATCCTGTGTCTTGGCCAGTGATTTCCCCTCCCTAATTCTCACTTAATGGCTGTTCATGGAATATTGCTGCGTGCTAGTTGGCTGCTGGATGCCTACAAAGTATGGTCTACAATACTCGCCCCTCTCCCACCCCCAGCTTGGGTCAAATCCTGGACTGTGCAGTGCCTTGGGCTGTTCTCCCAATATGAAAGGTGCTATATAAATTTGTATTGAACAGTAAATATTGTAAATCGTTTCAACTATCTAAGGAGCTATATGAAGTGTAAGGGTTAAGTTACTCTTAGAAAATTAATGGAAGAGGAGCATTTGATTTGAGCTCCCTCTGGAATTTATTATTGAGGGATGTATATATATGAACAACTTGTATTGGTTTCATGGTGTTAGTTTTAATGAGTTTTTATTTTGCCTAAAGGTGAAAATTGTAGGGTTAAGGAGCCAAAATATGGTTATGAGCTTGATCTGAATCGTCTTGCCCACAAGAATTACCAAGTGAATACTGACAAATATACGTATCACTTCAGAGTGTGTGACCACTTAAATGGACACGAATGCAATGCTGCCCATAGAAGTGGGGCAAATGCAGTGTCTGCATGTCAGGTGCAGAAGGATAACCCCACAGCCGACAAAACTGCAGGTAAGTTTTACCTATCACTGTATAGCATAAGGCATTGATTTGGTTCTTCAGAGGAGCCTGAAATCTACCAAGGGTTTCCTTGATTATAAAATATTTCTTTTAAAAGAGAATGCAATGGGAAAAGTAAACTGCTTTTCCCAACTATATCTTCTGTAAATTGGCATGTTAATGTTCCATTTTGTGTGTGTGTTGGGGGGGATTATGTTTTTATGGTCCTCCTGTTGTGAAACTATACCAAATGAAAGTATTATTATCCATATCACCCAAGAGGTACCGGTGTGAAAAATGCAAATGTTGCATTTTATGGTTTGAATTCTCCATATATCTTTGTATTAATATATTGAATCATGGCAGGCTAGATAGAAAATATAGGAACAGAGACTTGCCACATGGAGGAAGAGACTTTACTACAATATCTAGTTTTTTGGAGTTTTAAACTTTGCCTTTGCCTTTCGTTCATGCCTTTGGTGCTTTGAGTCTAGTATGACTAAGACACTGAAGTGATAATGCTGAAAGGGTCAGAGGGAAGTGAGGACTGAAGGAGTGTGGTGTGTTGTAGGTTGCATGAAATTCAGAACGACTTCTATCAAACAGGTAAGCAATTGTTAAAGTCTGGTATCGCGCTTAACTTTCTTGTCATCCAGGTTAGTTAAATTAAAATTTTGAATCTGTTTGAACTTTCCTTTTAATAAGTGCACAGATGATCTAATGTGTTCCCCTTTTTTCATATATATAAAAAAGGGCTCATTACCCATAACATAATCTATGAAGATGGATTGATAATGATTAACTACACCAAAGGGGAGAAGTGCCACAAAATATATGAACGATCCACAGCCATCCTGTTCTACTGTGACCACAGTCAAAATCCGGTCAGTAAAATATTAATTACACAGGTTGTGTTTTTGTTAAGTTGATGGTCTTCAGACTTGGACACTTTCTAAAGGCAGTGGACTTTCTGAAATCTCAAACTTTTTATGACTCCAGTGTAATTGTCGTTTGCGTTGATCATTTGGGGTCAGTCATGTTGGCATTGACTAGGTTGAGCCTGCCCCAAGTTAGGTGATGTATTTTCCCTGGGACTTTTGGAATCTTTAAATTCTAGCTCTTTTGTTTTATTTTCCTCTAGGCAAGGTTTGATCTTGAATGTTTCAATTGTGGCTAACTTGATAAACTTATTGCTATATATAGTAAATAGTTGCATTACTACTTGTGAGCAGTGCTACATTAAATTTATAAATGCTGAAGTGAATCCCCAATATAATTCATTCTAGCGCTGGATCGCTTATAAAGCAGATGGCTTGTGGACCTGTGGCCAGCTGCACAATCACATTTGATCAATCCACATCCAAACCCACTTGTGCAAACAGATTAATTGTGGATTGATGGAATGCGCTGTCAATCCTGTTGCAGTGAGCATGTAAGGCTGGCAGCTTTATGTGCAGTGGCGTCATTGGTTATGTGATCAGTAGCATTACGATTCAGAAATACTGACCATTAATCATGTCATGTTATCGCCTGGGTTGGAATTCTGTGTCCAATGACCTTGTCATGGGGACTGCACTGAATTTGACTTGAATCATATAACAGCAACAAAATTTGGAGTTGGGCAAGGATGGGGGTGATAGGGTCGCGGTGCCTGGTGCGGGAGAGGACATGGGCTGCAGAGTTCTGGATGATCTGCAGCCTGTGGAGGGAAGAGTTCAGGAGGCCAACAAGCAGGGAGTTTGCATAGTCGAGCCTCGATGTAATGAAGGCGAGTATGAGAGTTTCGGCGGCCTGAGGTGTGAGACAGTGTCGGAGCCGGGCGACGTTGCGGAGGTGGGGGAAGACAGAGCGGGTCATGGCACAGATGTGGGGTAGAAAGGATAGTTGAGGGTCAAACAAGACCCGAAGGTTCTGGACTGGCTCAGTAATGTGGAGTGTGGAACCGTGGATGGTGATGCTGTCAGTGCCCGAGATGAGGAGGCGCTGACGGGAGCCAATCAGGAGAGCCTCGGTGTTGATGACGTTCAACTGGAGAAAGTTAGCTCTCATCCAGTACTTGATGTCTAACAGACATTTTGTCAGCACAGCAGTGGTCCTGGAGTCAAGGGTGGAAGGATCCCATTAATATAAAACATGATCCAGCATGTTCTTAAACTTTAATAAAATCCAATGGGAAAATGCATTTCGGGAACAAATATTAAATTGCAAATCTTTGGCTTAATTATTTAAAATTGAAGTACATGTAGAGCTTATGTTCAGTGTTCTTTTCACAGGGAGAACCAAAGTTTTTGAGAGAAACTTCAGACTGTACGTACTTGTTTGAATGGCACACTTCCTATGTTTGTCCGCCTTTCACATCCATCGATTGCACTTTAAGGTAATTTTATTATGATCTTTCAATTAAAGTCAATATTATTAATGTGGTTAGAATGAAGAAATCTGTTTAAAAACAGATTTTTGGGAATGAGTGGCACAATGGGAGAATTACCTCATAGACTTGAGTTTGAATCCAATTAGGATTATTGGGATGCAGTCTACTGCAGTTACCAATACTATACAAATAACTAGTCTCCACCAATTTTCCAGTTCATTCACATCCACAGCACTGATTTACTAATTGGTAATTTAATTGGTAGAAGCCACAGAAGCGTCACACTGGTGCTCTTCAGTTCAGGGTGGAATTAGAGAGAGTTGATCTTGCATCTATTTGCTCTGTGACCTGTGATTGTGTGATATTCCTTTTCCCTGTGGTAACAGCTTGAGCCCAAAATTCGGCCTAAAAATGCTGTTGACATAACTAAACAATCCTACAAAATGCCCTACACTTGTGGGACCAAGCAGCAGCTTGGTTGTAGTGGTGTAACATTTGATCTGATCCCGTCAGTGGGCTATGTTCAAATTGATGCAGTATTATGCACAATAGAAGAACTGTAAAAGGTGTTATTGCTTCAAAAAGTTTGGAATTTGTGTGTTGAATTTTTAGCCCCAAGTTCACAGGTTCTCATTTATCTTCTCATCTTTACACATTGCAGTCAGTAGAAACCACTCTTTACATCTGTAAATTACTTGAACATTACAATATCTTGCTGTAAGACATGTCAAATATAAATATGTGCAGTATAAAATATTACACACAATTTAAAGTACTTGTACTTGTCTGCTCATTTTTTGTCACTTTTCAACTTTAATTTGTTTTACCTAGTCTGACTTTCCTTCCCCCCACCGCCTCTCCTCCAAAGCTCTTTACCTGCTTGTGCCTCCAATATCTCCTGGGACCAAGGAGAAAAGCACTTTTCTCATACGATTATTCAAAGTCTGTTGTTGAACACCTCAGACTCTCAGATCAATACAGAATCATCTTAGATGTAGTCAGGTCATTTCCAGATACAACAATAACAGCCAGGAAGAGGGTGTTGGCAAAACTTGGTCAAGTGAACACTTCTATGGCATCAAAGACTTAACATTCATCATTCCAACTGTGCATTAATCTTTTTTCATTTAATTGTATATTGTGATAGTCTCTTCATAGTAACTGCAATTGCTTGTAACTAAATGGTATTATAGGCTAAGTTAGACATATAAACATTGATGGTCCTTGTCTATAACTTTAATTATCATCTTTCAGAGACGATGATGGGAATTCTTACGACCTTACACCTTTGTCCCGATATCGAGATAACTGGGAGATCCTATCAATAGATAATGGGCAGAAGTACTACATCAACGTCTGCAAGTCTTTGGTCCCTCAAAATGGTAAGCCAGTTCAGCACTGGCTCACTAGAATTTGATCTGACTTTTTTTTAGAAAAAAATAATGTTTGGTGTGTTTGGTATTCTGGAAAGATATGGCAGATGAGCTTTTATCATCTGATCCCCTCTTTTGTGATCCAGGGTGATTCATTTCTCTCAGGATCTGATGGTTGTCAGCTTAAACCTAGGGCTGATATGAAACCTGTTTCAGTTTTCTTCTTCTTCCCCAACCCCCCTCCCCTATTCTTACTCTACCCTATTTTTATAGTTTTACATCAGTTTAACTTTTTCATTCTTGTAAGCTCCACAAGCTACGATTGGTTATATCCAAATAGATCCTCTTAACATGATCTACTTTTGTTTAAGGGACTTTCCTGTGCACCAGGAGTTCAATCTCAAGTTTCAGATGAAGGTCTCTGATTGCTCTGGTATTTAAGTTCATGTTGGATTCTAAATGATTTTGCATTCCAGGTTTCATTCTGAAGTTAATTTTGGTACAATATTAATGGTCTAATGTATTACACTTAGGGAGTTGGGTCTGTCCGCTTAATGCTGCTGCCTGCCTAAAGAATGGCACCAAGTACATAAACCTTGGGACAGTAGCTGGAGGGCCAAAGTGGGAACATGGCCTGCTTGTCCTACACTATCAAAGTGGTGACAGATGTCCTGATGGAATTCGCAACAAGACAACAATCATACGTTTTCAGTGTGATGCAAATGCAATTGTAAGTATTTATCATAAGAGATTTTTCTGTTTTGTTCCTCTATTCTGAAGTTGTTAACCCTTGAGGTATGTTCACAGGCAATAGTGAACTCTCATCCCTGGTCCAAGTGATCATTCTGTGTGTGGCCTTAAACTTGTGAGTGTCACCAGGCTGTTCAAGCCGCAGGATATCATTTTGGAGATGGGCCAGTCTCACATTGCTGCTGGTGGTGGTCAAAGGTGGAGCCTGGATCCTGTTGTGTAGTAGAATCTCATTGGGACTGTCCAAAGACTGTTTGAGTATGGGAGCAATTCATACTATATAGAAAATACAGCTTGGAAACTGGCGTCTCGAGTCCATTAATGCAATTAGTGCATTCTGGAGATGAGAAAAATCTGAAAAGGACCATGAGCTATAAAACCTTGATCAAACTTTCATAAATGTGATCGTATTAAAATGAGAAGAATATTATAACATAACAGTAATAATATAATCCTTGCGCCTTATCACATCTTTGAGACGTCTCAAAGTGCTTCACAGAATATACCGTAACGTGAATCAACTGTATATTTTGTGAACAAAATACAGCAGCCAATTGAATTGCAGTCTAAAGACTTACACATTAGGTAACATTTGCAAATGAAGGATTTTGGTGCATCTTAAAATGATTCTAAAACTTGGGATATCAACCTGTTAAATACATTTTAATTGTTTTTTTGCAGGACACAAAGCCAAATCTAATCACTGCCATTGAAGATTGTGTGTACACGTTCTTGTGGTTCACGGCTGCTGCTTGCCGAGTAACTGAAAATGTGCATGACCGGTGCACTGTGACTAATCCAATTTCAGGTCTGTGGCACATTTCATTATATTCCACACTCTTACCAAGCTCTTAGTCTTGAGCTGTGACTGACCTATGAAAGTTATTTTTTTTCTGCTAAATAGGGTGGACCTTAAAGCTGTAAGCAGATGAGATGGCAAGCTGGCTACAAAACAGAAAGCAGAGTGGGGGTAAAGGGTAGCTACTCAGACTGACAGGGTGGGAAGTGGTGTTCCCCAAGGATCAGTATTGGGACCAACCACTGTTGTTCACAATATATATTAATGATTTGGACTCTGGAATCAGCAGTACAATTTAAAAATTTGCAGACTGTCAAATTGAGGGGAGTAGTTAATACAGAGGACTGCAACAAATTACAGCAAGATATTAGCAAAGTTTCTGAATGGGCATTTAAATGGCAAATGCATTTCAATGGATAAAAGTGTGAGGTGATACATTTTGGTAGAAGGAATAAGGAAGTCATGTACATCCTGGAAAATAAAAACCTAAATGGAGTAGAGGAGCAAAGGAATCTAGGGGTACACATACACAATTCACTAAAAGTAGCAACGCAGGTTAATAAGGCCATAAAAAGGCAAACCAGGCATTGGGGTTCATTTCTAGAGGGATAGAAATGAAAAGCAGGGAAGTTATGGTAAATAAATAAATAAATAAAAGCGCTATATCAAATGCAAGGTTAATAATAATAACTTCTACAGAACCTTGGTTAGATCACACTTAGAATACTGTGTGCAGTTCTGGTCCCCACATTATACAAGGGTTAGAGGCACTGGAGAGGGTGCAAAAGAGATTCACAAGGATGATCCCAGAACTGAGAGGTTATACCTATCAGGAATGGCTGAACATACTTGGACTCTTTTCTCTTGAAAAGAGGAGGGTAAGGGGTGACCTGATAAAGGTCTTTAAAATGATGAAAGGTTTTGATAGGGTAGACATAGGGAAGATGTTTCCACTTGTGGGGGAGACCAAAATCAAGGGCCATCAATATAAAATAGTCACAAATAGATCAAATAGGGAAGTTAGAAGAAATTTCTTTACACAGAGAGTAATGGGAATGTGGAACATGCTCCCACAAGGAGTTGTTGACGCAAATAGCTTAGATGTATTTAAGGGAAATCTAGATAGATACATGAGGGAGAAAGGAATAGAAGGTTATGGTTGAGGCTTAGTTATTCTTGAGGCTCATGTGGAGTATAAACACCGGCATAGACCAGTTGGGCCAAATGGGCTGTTTCTGTGCTGTATATTCTAATGTATTCTATTGAATTTTAATGTATATCTCTTTCCTGTACCTTGCAGGTACAAATAAAACTGTAGAAATTTACAGCACAGAAGAAGGCCATTTAACACATCATGTCTGTGCTGGCTCTTAATAGTTACCCTTTCAGTTCGAATTACCTCCCATACCCCTATAGTTTACTACTTTTTTATGTAATCAGTTGAAATTATTAAATATAGACGAGTACCTATAAGTTTTTGTGTTTATAAAAAAAATTCAACAAACTATTGAAGTTCAGATTTGTAACTTGCACATAATATTTCACCAGACAGTAATTTCCAAATATTCATTTTTTTGGTTAGCCAGATGTCTGATGCATGTGGAAACACTTATCCATCATTAGGTAATACTAGTGAATTCTTGTAAATAGTCATACAATATCACGCTTCAGTTTGTCCCTTGCATAGTAATGCTTACAGGAAAAGTGCTACTTTCACAGGATTTTACTGTAAAGTGTAGTAACTACCTTTGTGGGTGAATGTGGCATCCTATTTGTTCACAGCAATATCTCACATATGACCCTAAAGTGAATGAAAGCCTATTTGCTTACAGCAATATCTCACATATGGCCCCAAAGTGAATTTTATCTGGAGCATTGTTGGCCAGGACATGAGGAGAAACTCTTCTCCTTTTGCGTAGTTCCATTAATTTCCAGTTAGACTGCTACTTTAAGGGCATAAAAGCTATTTTACTGTGGTACCGTATGTTATAACACCAATATTATTTTTGTTTGAATCTATCTTGTTTTTAAACTCTAGGTTAATAATGGCCACTGAAAAATATATGAATGAATGCTAGGGTTTTAATTGTGCAGGTTTTAACTTTTTTTTGCTATTTCTTTAGGACATTCATTTGACTTGAATCCTTTGAGAAGAAATCAGAACCACATCATTTATGACAGCAAGATCCAAGGAAATTTTGTTGCCCTGCAAATATGTGATAAGGTGTCTGGCACAAGGTGTTCAGGAAATGATGTTGGTATGCATTGAAAGGCTATACAACTTAATAATAGATGAGATCTAAATGTATTTCCTGTACCTAGCAGGTACAAATAGAACCATATAAATTTAAATCTCTATCTGGTTTGGAAGAAGTTATGGGAAGCTTTTAGTAGGTGGGGGGGGTGAGAGAGCTCTGTCCAAAAACAGTATTGAGAAATGCTACTGTCAAAGGGGGTATAGATTGTTTGATAGAATTGGATGGGAATTTTGTTTTACATTTAACGATTAAACATTGCAGAAAAAAATAGTGTTGGTGAATTTATGATACAGTTGTAAATTCATATCATTTTTGCTAAGAGTATCTATTGTGCATATGATGTTTTAAAGCCTTTCGATTCTTTTTTTAGGTGTGTGTATTACTGACCGGCAACGTTCAATCAATGCAGGGAGATTTAATCAGAAATTGACTTATGCTGATCAGGTGCTAAAGCTCACCTATAGTAATGGTGACCGTTGCTCAAGCAATCCATCGCTTAACCACAGAAGTATCTTCAGTTTTGTTTGTGGTTCTGGTGTCACCACAGAACCTGTCCTTGTGGCTTCAGATGAGAAGACATGCACACATTACTTTTCTTGGCACACACAGCTGGCCTGTGAACATGAGGTACAGTATTTATAAGAACCATTTATAACCAATATATGTTAGTACTCTAGAATTCTTACTTTACCGTATAATCCTGCAAAGTGCTCTGAGACTTCTATCAAACTCAAGTATTATAAAATGCTTCAATTTTAATTCTCATTGAAGAATTTCATGTGAAGTAAACTCTTGTCTACATCAAACCTTTCTTCCCTCTGATATTAATTGAAATTTTTCACTCTGTCACAACAGCAATGAGTTTTTTTCCAACACAGTGATTAACAATTGAGTCTTACAGAAAATACGTTTGTGCTTTATGATCATAGACTTGTTTTCTCTTTAGGTGAAGTGCTCAGTGATGAATGGCACTTCTGTTATTGACCTGAGTCCTCTGATCCAGAAGACTGGATACTACTCTGCAATTGATGAGGATATTGTAGATGGTCGGGATGATACGCCTAACTTTTACATCAACCTTTGCCAGCCACTGAACCCTATTCCAAATGTTGTGTGCCCCCCTGGAGCAGCTGTGTGCATGGATCCAGTGAATGGGCCCCCTGTGGTAAGTTCAGACATGCAGCTCCAAGAGCTTTGTAAGGCCTTTGTCTCTTTTATAAAACATCTCGAACTTCAGAAGCAATTGTTGTCAGTACCATCCATGTAGTAAATGACCAATTAATGTAACATTTCTGTTCTGCCTTTACCAACCTGTACTTCAAAACATAATTTGAAAACTAACATTCTGCAGAAATTCAAATGGATAATTGGATGTGACTTTTTGTTTTACTTTGGTTCCCACTTGCTGAATAATTTTCTCTGTTCACTACTTCCAGATACTACTAGCTTAAGGCTGGTAGTGATGTGTTGTCTTGTCAGAACAAAATTGACAGGACAGTCATCCCTTTAATATTGGGAGTAGCCCAACAGACTTTACTCCTCTATGGTTCATAAGAAGCATTCCCATAAGGCATGGATGTATATGCATCCTTACCATTTGATGGGTTAACAACAATTCATCCAGTGCACCCAGAAGATCAGCTTCTTTACTGGCTTGCACTGAGCATATTAGCTATCTTCCTCATCATTGTATCGTATTGACACCATCTAAATTCAGTGTGCAAGTGGATAGGCACTGCAACTGGCTGAGGAGACTGGTAACGTCTTCCTGAATTTTGCAAATCACCCTGAAGTTTATGTTGAGAATAATTCTGTGTGTTGCATTCCTGCCCAGGATTCAGGAAGAAGATACTAACTTCGAATTGGCTATACTTTGAAATGAGTTAAATCAGAAATGTTAATTTTAAAACCAAATTTCTGGGAATGAAAACCCTGATCCCTTTTGACGAGCTGTTTATCATAGCTGTCTTAGTAACTCAGGTTGTACAATGGGGAAATAATTATAAACCTGACGTTCAGTTAAAAGTGGTGTTTTCATTTGATCTTCTGTTTCACTCATTTTAGGATATTGGTCGCATCTCGTGGCCCCCACAGATCAATCGAATAACTCAGGAGGTTTACATTTCTTTTACCAGCAATACAACTTGTGAAGCCAACAAATTGCTCAACTATGACTCCCTCATTGCATTTCACTGTGTCCGAGGCATAGACCTGGTAAGGGATTTGTCATTTACAAATCTGCAGTTTAATTCAAAAAATATATTAACTTTTTAGCTAGTTCTTAGTCCAAACTAGTTTTTCTGGTATTCTTCAAGATTAATCTCACCCTTATAAAATACTATCAAGCTTTTTCTTAAATAACCTATTTAAGAAATGGGTCATTTAACCACAGATTTACCCTATGTGTAAAGAAACCACTCCTATCTGTTCCAAAATACGATTCTACAACCCAGAACTAGTGTTGCCTTGACTTACCTGATTTTTTTNCTCCCCCTGATTATCTGAATTGCCACAAACTAGGTAAAGCAAAGGTTGGAGGCATTATTTTACATCAGTCAAGGTGTCTCAGTTTAAGGTTCCTGGTTTAGCATTGATCTGTTTATAATGGGATGTGCTGTGGTCCCGTACTATATTGGAAGAATGATATACCAGGCATCCAGCAATGATCTGCAGGTTTCCTGCACTAAAAGTCTGCTTCCCAGGGTTGTGAAGTTCTTGATGTCATTCCTTCCTGCATGTGTGCACATTGGGTGCAGGAAGTGTTGCTAATGTTGTTTCATGAAGAAAGACACCAGTGGCATTTCTTGAACTTTGAGTAGGTGAAGCAAGTGACATTACTGCCAACCTGACTAACTGAAAGATGGCCACTTTGTTTGTGGAGGGGGGGTTTGGTAGAGAGGGTTCATAGACCCATACCACCAGACTCTAAATACTCTAACTTCATCACACGCTGAAAAACGCTGTTATCACAGCCCTCCTCAAAAAAAAACACCCTCAATCTCTCTAATTTCTCACACTACCATCCAATTTCCAACCTACTCATCCTTGCCAAACTCCTGGAACTCATTGTTGCAGGTCAACTTCGGTCACACCTCTCCCTCCACTCCCTCCTCGAGTCCTTGCAGTCTGTTTTTCACCCTGCCCACAGCACAGAGACAGCACTTGTCAAAATCACAAATGATGTCCTCTCTATCTGTGACCAGGGCTCCCTCTGCCTCCTCGTCCTCCTGGATCTTTGCCGCATTTGACACAGTCGACCACACCATCCTCCGCCACTGCCTCCTCCCTCATCCACGTTAGTGGGACCTCACTTGCATGGTTCAAGTCCTACTTAACCAACCGCCTCCATTTCGTCTCGGCAAATTGTTTCTACTCCCGCCCCCGCCCGGTCACCTGTTGGGTGCCCCAGGGCTCCTTCCTTGGCCCCCTTATTTTTCTCATGCGTATGCTCCCTCTTGGCGATGTCATCCGCAGACATGGATTGTGTAGCACCGAAATGGACCATTAAAGCCTAACCAATCCCATGTTGTGCTTATGCTCCACACATTGTGCTAAAGCTGGCTCTGAAGTTTTGGTGGATTGCATTGTAAAGCCTTTCTGTAGGAGTGGAGATCTGTAGCTCAGTGGTTAGAGCACTCGCTTTGCAAGCGAGAGACCTGGGTTCGATTCCCGGCAGGGCGAAATCTTGGGCAAGTTTCCTTACTCCACAAGCCTGATGATAATCCCTCAAAAAAAAAAATTAGTCATTTCAATCCACGACTGTTTGTGGGACACTGCTGTGTACAGTTGGCTGCTGCATTTTGCCCACAAGTATACAGTCAATTCACTTTACAATATATTCTGTGAAGAGCTTTGGGACGTCCTCCCGACGTGAAAAGCGCTATATCAAATGCAAGGATTATTATTTTTATTAATCCACACATCTACAAACTGATCCGAAGTAATTCTTCTAAGAATTTTGTAGAACTTGTGTGACCAGCAGTAGAAGAGGAGGTTAATTCTTTTCACCTTTACAGGGAAGACCAAAGATGATGCGACAATCTGAATGCAGCTATGTCTTTGAATGGGGAACTCCGTTGGTCTGCCCAGATTCTGTGATGACATCTGGCTGCTCGCTGACTGATGAGCAGCTACAGTACACTTTCAATCTGTCGGTTTTGACTGGAGGAAAATACAAGGTTTCTTATTTTAAGCTTACAAGATAATGAATGTATCATATGGTGAACTTGAAGCTGTTTTCTCCCATTAATTTAAGATAGCTGGCAAATGGGAAGATTAGGAGAACATTTTTCAATGCACAGTTGTTAGGATGTGGAATGCCTTGCTAGGAGTCGTGGTTGATATTATCCTATCATCACTGTCATAGCTCAAATTCAAACTACTTTCATGTTGTGACTCCAGATCTTCATATAACTGGTTTGTCTAGAAAAGGGTAATTCCCAGAACACTTCTATTACCAAATGCAAACTGTTTGAGCTAAGGGTGGCTCTTTTCTACAATCAAGCAGCATTAGACATCTAGTTCAGTCAAACAGCCTGTCCCAAGCCAACTAGTTTGGTTCCTCCGTCAATAGATACATACACATTTAGGATGTCAGGGAATATAGCTTTAAATTAGCCATTTGGTATTGCTTCTTTCACCATATTGTCTTCTCTTGGTTTGCCACAATAGTATTGTGATTTTTCTTGCTTTCCCCCAGATACAATCTGAAAAACAAATCTATTACCTTGATGTATGTGCAGCAGTATCTGATCTACCAGGGAAAAAGTGCAAGGACAGTGCTGTGTGCTTGTTATCTGGCAACAAAGCGGTTTCGTTTGGGAATCCCAAAGCAATGACTTTAGAATACATACACCAGGATAATGCTATAGTTATGCACTATGGCAGTGGTGACCCGTGTCCAAAACGTAAGTTAATAGGGGAACTAATTCTATCTATTTCCAAATGTTTTTTTTAAAAACCGCTCTTGTTCTGAATTAAAGCTGGAATAAAGCTCTAAAATATGTTCCTCGTTCTGATTTATCACCAGTGGCAAGAGTGCAACCCAATGCCAATATACACATGCATAATAACTTTGCTGTTTAAATTTACCATTTGACAGAAACTATGATTTCAATGGATTTTTTGTAACTCAGACTTTAAAGGTAATAGTTGCACATATTTTATATTTAAACCTTAAAGTTTGCAAACTTTTGCATAGTTTCTTCAAATAAAATTTTGAAGAGGTTACCTACCCAGACTGTCTGAGGGGAAAATATTTTAGAGCTTCACCAAAATTAAATGTTGTTATAGTGTTGGACACTAATGCCATTTGAGTGGTTATTGCATGGAATCAGTCTGGAACAAACTTTTGCCCCAGTTATGGATATGATACTGCAACATCTACGTGTTGGAAAAGATATTAAAGAATTGTAATTTAGCAGTATATATGGACCTTGGAGAGGGTTAAGGTTTATGGTATTTGAGAGAAGAGTAATGTAGAAAAGTTGACGGAGTTTGAAAAGTCCAGTTGTGAATCAGGAGAGAATTGCATAATGTGTAGTTCTCTTGATTAATCGTGATCAGGTAATATTTTCGTAAAGCTTTCCCATGGATCAGTGGCTGAGCTATATGTTTATAGTGTTCGTCTGTGGAAGCAATAGGTTTGTTGGGTTGAATGGATGTTTATTTGTAGGCTTTTTCCAATTTTTCTTCTGGTGCTACAACTTTCTCGAAGAAAAGTTCATCTCGACTTGACAACTTTATGTTAGCTCATTGGTGTCCAACAGATTTATTTTTGCTCCAGATGGCAGTAAGTTTAATGAACTTTGACGTCTTCAGAATTGGAAATCTTCACTGTTCAGTGTACTAAACTTACTGACAGCATGGACTGCTGCCTCATTGACATTTGAAGGTAATGTTCTGGTATTTGGCAAACTGTCTTTGGTATACATTTAGCTCACTAAATTTGCTAATTCGTACTTGATCACTTAACAGGAACTACAGATGGAGGATTTTGCATATTTCCTTTCATATTTAATGGAAATCATTATACTGATTGCACAGTGGATGGAAGAAGTGATGGGCGCCTGTGGTGTGCAAAAACTGAGGACTACGATCGGAACAAAGAATGGGGATTCTGTGTAAATGGTTTGTAACTGCTACAGTTTCTGAATTTGCTCTTATTAACAGTATAAATTAGATAATCAAAACTAGGTATGGTATTCGCTGAAAGTTATGCTTATTTACTGGGACTGAATTTTAAGTTGCTAAACTCCAGAGGACACTACAAGATGGGGTCTAAAACATTCATGTATCCTTACATGCTTGGAGTCCTGTAGCTCAATGGTTAGAGCACTTGCCTCGCACCCAAGAGACCTGGGTTTGATTCCCAGCAGGGCAAAATGTTGGTGAAGTTTCCTTACTCCATTCCTCTGATTCCATAGCAGTAAGTAGGAACCTGGTTGTTAGTCGATTAGCAAATCTTTTCCGGGGGTAATAATTCCTTCATAAAAAAGTAATAAATTGGCCACTTCAATCCATGACTGTTTATGGGACACTGTTGTGCGCAATTGACTGCTGCGTTTCGCCCACAAAATATAGTCAATTCACTTTACAGTATATTCTGTGAAGCGCTTTGAGACGTCTCAAAGAGGTGATAAGGCGCTATATCAAATAATAATAATAATCCGTGCACTTGATATAGCGCTTTTCACGTCGGGAGGACGTCCCAAAGCGCTTCACCGAACACACTGTAAAGTGAACTGAAGGTATATATTTGTGGGCGAACGCGGCAGCCAATTGCACACAGCAATGTCCCACAAACAGTCGTAGATTGAAAATGACCAATTTATTATTGTTTTTGGTTTTGGAGGGATTATTATTAGGCTCTGTGTGGAGTAAGGAAACTTGCCCAAGGTTTTGCCCTGCCTGGAATTGAATTCGGGTCTCTCGCTTGCAAAGCGAGTGCTCTCACCACTGAGCTACAGGACTCCACACAATGCAAGTATTATTAGTGAAATGCCTTTGCATATTGTTGTTAGTAATAACTGCTACTCTGTTGTGGTTGCTTGGGTTCTTAACAGTTGAACTCACCGAGCTTAAAGCAATCAAGTACTGCCTCATGTGAAGAGCACTGTATAAATGCATGTCGTTGTCTTTCGAGGAATGAATAGGATGTACTTACAGCAGGTTGTCTCTTTTTACAATTAATCACCCAAATATTTAACTATTCTCTTCAGAGTATTCAATAACCAACACTCGATCATCAGCCATCATCTTTAAGTGTGACGAAAGCGCTGACAAGGGAACACCTACAATACTGAGTGAAACCCTTGATTGTACTACAATTTTTGAATGGAAGACTAGTGCAGTCTGTCCACCCAAACGGATGGAATGCAAGATAATATATAATCACAAAATCTATGACTTGAGAATGCTTTCATCTCTTACTGGATCGTGGCAGTTTGCTTATCGTGGTGATGCGTAAGTTCTGTTATCTTTCTCATTCTATGGTGGGAAAGTTTTCACTTTTTGGTTCCTCATAATTTAGAATTGATGCAAAACTATCTACTATAATGTTTTTTCCTTTAACCAATATCACTTTGTCTGGTATTGTAGATATTAACCTCACGCACAAGGAATGGTGTAGCACTGCTCCTTCTTTATATGGTAAATTTTCCTCCATGGTTTTTGATATCCCTAGACATTGACGGTGACCCACTTGAGGTGTTTCTTTACACTTTATTTTTTCTTTGAGTTATGTTGTGGCTGGATTGCTGCAATGCTGAAAACTCGGGGAAGCCTGTGCTGACGTGCTATGTACAGGAAGCAAGTTAGTCAATGCTACATTTCTGGTATTCTGTGGATCCACAATGCATCTGCATTATACATGGTCCTGTGATGTACTGAATGTGTGTGCGATGGGATATGATTACTTACACATTACATAATCATTTTCTAAAAAGCCACCTATCTGCCCTGAAATTCTCTTAAGAATAAAATGCTTTGCAGGTATTAAGTTTAAAACTGGTAAGCAACATGCAGATTGCTAGTTGATCTATTGACCAATATGCAAATAAATTACTTAATGTAAAATGATTTTTTATAAATTAATTTTCCTTGTACAATATATGCATATCAATGTTTTAAGTGTTTGCAGGAATTTATGTTTGACTTTAATTCTTTCAGGTTTTACATAAACCTCTGTCAGGGTGTTCGGGAAGGACCCCCAGACTGCCCTGCACACGCCAGTGTGTGTAGAGTTCGGAATGGTGAAACAAAAGTTTTAGGAATCGTTTATACTCAAAAGATTACCATTCAAGGTATGAAAGTGTTTGAATTTTTGAATTGTATACAATTATGAAATTCTGAAACATGGTGATTTTTTTTAAAACCTACAAAAGGTATCTAAAACATGCAACTCCATCGTTGTGTTCCTCCACATTGCCCTATCAAACTTAAGACTATCTTGGATCGCACTTTAAGCCATCATCTCTTCTCTTTCTCTCGCTCTCTCTTTCTTTCCCTCTCCCCAAAAAAATCAGGTTCCAGCCAGCTGCGTGAAGTGCTTTGAGACATTCCTCCTGACATGAAAGGTGAAACTGTTATTGATTCTCGCAAATTGTTTTCCAGATGAGAGAGTTTATGTTAATTACTCAAATGGTGATTTAGTGTGTAACAATGGCAACCGTGCAACAACTATTCTACTTCTGCAGTGCTCCTCAACAGGCAGCTCACCAATGCTGCAAAGGTGAGAAGCTTTCTATTAAGCCAATTAGTTGAGTAAAATATTTGTGGCTGATTTGATGGGTTGGCCTCATCTTCAATGTTTTGGATCTTCATTGTTTTGGATCATCCATGGGGAAGGAAGCAAGGTTTCCTTGGAGCTGAACTGGCTCCAAGGTGACCTTTGTTTCACAACAGACTGTCAGTCAAGTTCACCCTCTGTGATGGTCTTGGTTGTCCAGTTCCTGAGCAGGTGGGTATGCAGTATTCCTGGGCCCTGATGATGGCAGGACGTGGAGGACAGATTAGGCATTGCAAGAATTTTTTCCCACTCAGCTCCTGTTAACCCTGAAGTCAAATCCCTAATGGGTAGGGTGGTCCTAGTTGGACAATCAAAGGGAAAGGTAGCCAAACTTGCTGTTTTAGCTGGTTGGACTCAAGCAGTATCCAAACACACATTCTGGGATCCCCAAGCCTTTGCTCTTTATAACCTCACCTAATACTCTAGAATCAGGAAGCAAGAGGGATCCCTCCAGGGAGAGTGCACATTCCATTCCAATAAATATCTTGGGGAATTTCCTTGTATAGGTGAGATGGTTTAAGCATGGTCACTTATCAGACCAAAAATAATTTTGGATTGACAAAAAGGACGGCAAAGTCAACTGTTTTTACATTGCAATTCCTGAGTCAAAACTTCAACGACAGCAGCTTGCACTTATACAGCGCCCTCCACCCAGGGTAGTGTCTCAGAGTGCTGTTTGCCATTCCAAATCACTTCGTAAACTGAGGATCAGCTATTTGCCTTTTAATTGGTAACTTGTTCTATTTGGGATCTTATTTAAAACCGAGAAAGGTTTCAACAGTTTTGTAACAAAGGATATTCTCTTTTCTACCCACTGTTAACCCGACTCATTGAAGGTAGCAGTAGTGAAAACTGTATAGTATGTCAATCCAAGAGTAATATGCACCAATAAAACAAGAACCAGGGTCAGTGGGCTTTAAACTTTTAATTCTAAATTGAGTAATTTCTGCCTAGAAATTCCTAGCTACTCTTCGCGGCTTACCTATCTAGCTTGATTCCACTAGACTTTTTATACACACATGATTTATTGAGAACCTCTTAAATGTTAACCTGGATGATCAAACCTTGGACAAAGTAACACAACTGATTTTAGTGTCATATCCCTACTATATTTCAATCTATGGAATGTATGGTATCTGGGCAATATAACTCTCAAACGACTTTTCTTGCAGGATTGATGAAGAGAAATGTGAGTTTTCAATCCTATGGCAGACTCGTGCAGCCTGTGCTGTCAAACCCCAAGTGGTCAAAATGGTGAATGGAACCATTGTCAACCAATCAACTGGCCAGACAGTTGATTTGTCAGCTATTTATTCCAAGTAAGCATTTATATTTAGCTTGTTTAATTTTGTTACATTTAATTAATTCAATTTTACATTCTATTCAATTTCATATGTTTATGTACAAAATCACTATGCTTCATACTTTGCTTTATCTTGGATAAGCAAGGTTATCTTGGAGGCATAGGACAACCCCCGGCTTCTCTTTTCCACCACTAACCGTCTCCTCCGTCCACCTTCCCGTACCTCGCCCATCCTCTCCTCAAACTCCAACTGTGAGGAGATGCTGGACTTCCTCGAATCTAAAATCGAGGGGATACATTCAGCCACCTCAGCCCCATCACATCACCTCTCCCTCATGACCCATCCCCATCCCCCCCCCATACTCCTTCGACCCTATCTCTCCCTCCTCCCTCACCAGGACTGTCCGCAAACTCAAATTCACCACCTGCTCCCTCGATCCCATCCCCACCTCTCTCCTCGTCTCGGAGCTCCACCTTCTGGCCCCCCTCCTGTCCAATATCATCAACCTCTCCCTGTCCACCCATCCCTCCTCTCCAGCTACCGCCCCATCTCTAACCTCTCATTCCTCTCCAAGGTCCTGGAACGAGTCGTGGCATCCCAGCTCCGCTCCTTTCTTTCTCGACATTCCCTCTTTGAACCCCTCCAATCCGACTTCTATGCTGCCCAAAGCACGGAAACAGCCCTGGTCAAAGTCACTAATGACATTTTGAACATCTGTGATTAGGGCTCCCTCTGCCTCCTTGACCTCCTCAACCTCTCTGCCGCCTTCGACACTGTCAACCACTCCATCCTCATACACCGCCTCTCCGCTTTACTCAATCTTCACGGACCTGCCCTTACCTGGTTCGATTCTTATCTCTCTCACCGTCTCCACTTCGTTGCCTCTAACGGTTTCTCCTCCAGCCCCCGCACTGTCACATCTGGCGTCCCCAGGACTCTGTCCTTGGCCCTCTCCTCTTTAATATCTACATGCTCCCCCTTGGTGACATCATCCGCAGACATAGGGTCAACTTCCACATGTATGCGGATGACACCCAACTCTACCTTTCTGCCTCCATCCTCAACTCCAGGACCACTGCTGTCCTGACAGACTGCCTGTTGGACATCAAGTCCTGGATGAGGGCAAATTTCCTACAGTTGAATGTGAACAAGACTGAGGCACTCCTGATTGGCTCGCGTCGGCGCCTCAGCACCTCAGGCTCTGGCAACATCAACCTCCATGGTTACTCACCGCAACTCACCAAGCCAGTCAGGAACCTGGGTGTCTTGTTCGACCCTCAACTGTCTTTTCTCCTCCACATTCAAGCCACGACCCGCTCTGGCTTCCCTCACCTCCGTGACATCGCCCAACTCCGCCACTATCTCACCCCTCAGGCCGCTGAAACTCTTGTTCATGCCTTCATCACCTCCAGGCTCGACTATGCAAACACCCTGCTTGTCGGCCTTCCCAACTCCTCCCTCCACAGGTTGCAGATAATCCAGAACTCTGCAGCCCGTGTCCTCTCCTGCACCAAACTCCGTGACCCTATCTCCCCCACTCTCGCCCGACTCCACTAGCTCCCTATCCTTCAGAGGATCCTGGTTTTCACATACAAAGCCCTCCATAGCCTCATCCCACCCTACCTCTGCGATCTCCTACCAACCCGCCTGTTCCCTCTGCTCAGCCGGCTCCGGCCTGCTCCACGTCCCCCGACCCACCTGCCCCACCATTAGTGGGAGAGCCTTCAGCCACTCTCTGGAATTCCATCCCCCAGTCACTCCGCCTCTCCCACTCCTTAGCCTCTTTCAAGTCTCGCCTCAAGACCTTCCTCTTCGACCATGCCATCGGTCACCTCCCTTCACCCCCAACCCCAGCTCGGGTCTGAAATGCTGTACTCTGTCCAGTGCCTTGGGACGTGCTCCTGACGTGAAAGACGCTATACAAATGAAATCTTGTTACTTTTATTCTGGATCATAAATTTGTGTACATTTGGAGATTGATCTTGAAAGATTGGAAAAATTTTTTAAAAAATTACAGATTGTTTGACTAATTGATTTAAAAAAAAGAATGCTGACTATATAATGTGTGTGTGATGTTTAAGTTGCTTCATAGACTGGTTGAGAAAATTAAGACATTATTAGTTAAATTGGTGGAATGGATGCAGAGATGGCTCAAAGATGGACTGAGACTCAGTGTAAATGGATATTTCCATTCCTTGAAACGTCCTCCCAATATGAATGGCATTCTATAAATTCAAGTTGTTTTCCTTGGATTCTAGCTCAGAAACGTACATACTAGCAAATTAAAATATGAACATATGTTTTACCTGTTAACTTGCTTTCTTTGTTCAAGGTTTTATAGAGCTGCAGGTGATATACGATCAAATGGTGACCAATATATCTACGATATTCAGCTTTCTGGGATCAAGGATCCTGAACACTCTGCCTGCCGTGGCTCCAACATCTGCCAGATCAAATCTAATAATGTCTACTTTAGACGCATTGGAGAAACCTCTGAAGCAACTTACTATTTTGAAGGTAAATGCTGTCTCTATGTTAAATTATGTTTAATGTTTTCTCATATCGATCTTTACCATTTTTAAAAAAAACACAAAGTAAATGTTCTCGTTTATTTATCCTAACTTTTCTAAAATGAGTTTCATGCAAACTTAACCTGTTTGCCATTTAATATAAGTTAGTTCACTCCAACTTTGTTAGTGACCTTCAACCTTTAACTTTCTCAATACGAGAAATAGATGTGTGTGTATTTACGTGAGCAGCCCAAATGAAGAGCTAAGCAAAACATATTTTAAACCTGCAGGCTATCAGCAGGTAAAATAAAGGAAGGGAGGACTTACAGTCTTCAGGTCATAGGATAGAAGGAGAAAACAGGAGATTGTGCAAAGGGCCATGTTGAAAGAGTGATTTGTTTAGAGCTTGCAGAAGACAAGTTAAATTCACAGGAACAATGAGATTTTGAAAGGTGGGGGTGGGGGCGTGTTAGTGAGTTAACATCAAGAGGCTTTGATGGTGAAACTATTGGGTGGGAAACTTTTTTGAATGGCATTCTCTTCATTGCTGCAGTGGTGAGTCTAAAGTGCATTTGGGGCAAATCGTCCATGAATTGACCACATTAAAGTAATAGAAGTGATCTTGGTTAAGAAATGAATAAAAGATTCTAGAATCTGCTGTAATCGTTTCATTGATTAATTATGTAAGTAAAAGCATCTGTGTGATTTAAGTACATTTAGCCCATGCACTGAGCCCAACCTGTATTTAAGAACCCCAATGATTGTAATTGAAGTTATGATCTATCGTACCTATGGGTTCATTATTGACTGACTATCTTGTCTCCAGATGATGACGTGGACATATTGATTTCTTCCAATTCTCCCTGTGGGAGAGAGAAGTCCAAGAATGTCTCCTCTACAATATCTCTCCACTGCAGTCAGTCAGCGGGGGAAGGTAAACCTGATTTCCTCCACGAGACCTTGGACTGTCAGTACCAGTTTTCATGGTATACATCAGCTGTCTGTGCATTTGCGTAAGTTCCTCTTGTATCCTACTTTTCAACTTTAATACCAGTTTTGCAATTTAATGTTCACTAGTTTTGAATAATGACGAGCAAATCTACATGTTGAGATTTTTACTGAACCGCTTTGAGACTAATGTCCAAAACAGTGGTGGTCAACCCATGGGCCGGAAGTGGTCTGCGGGACCATCAAAAATCGGCCCCCTGAACATTTGCACGAGTGAGTCTAGGTAAGTCAGCGTTCGATCAGTAGTGAGTGTTTAGTTTTTTCTTGACTGAATATTTCTTGATTTATGGCATAATCAAGAATTTATTTTGTTGGCCGACCATAAAAGTTGGCCTTCACTGGTATCAAAATATGACCACTGACTCGAATATGTTTTATGTAACCTTTGATGCTCATAAGATCTTCTGAAGTCATTATAAAGAAAATGCAGAGTAGGTTGGCCATAATTGTGATGCAAATGTGCATCTGCAATATTAATTTCTTTGATGTACTGTTTCCAGTAATTTTAGTACACTAGTTCGTTGTAAATGGTGGCTGGTAACTGCAAAGGTACTTGCGGATGAAATTCATCGGCTCTTTGAAAGCACAGGCACAATGGGCTGAATGGCCTCCTGTGCTGTAATATTCTATCATAACCTGGTACTCTAGCATTGACTGTTTTTTGTGGAGAGTTTGAGAGTTCTCCATTTCTTTCAACGCTGGCCACAAGTAGCAAGTACTTCTCCTTTTAAGATAAACATCCACCTGGTATAGTTTGAAGATTCATTCTACAGTTTTTAGCAGAATTGTGCCACGTCTAGATGGGAGTGCTAAAACTTTGTAAATGTCAGCTGTCTGACTGTTCTTTTTCTTTGTTGTTTGGACAGGCCAGACATTTCAGGAAATTCGGGTAAACTGCCAAATGGAGATAGTCACACGGGCTTGTCTGGAAGGAGCCGAGCTGTTGGAGCGATGCTCAGTGTATTGCTGGTGGTACTGACTGCTTGTTTGCTGATCCTGTTACTCTACAAACGGGAAAGAAGGTATGAATGCCTGCACTACACAGTGACACATGTGCAGGCTTTACAGAGAATGGAGGACAAAGACTCAGAAAGTACATCCATTGTCCAGGTTTTTTACTTACTGCATGTTTTTTCTATTCCTATCAATAGATTGTATTTCACGTTTAAATATACTAAAAGCTATCTGTTTTTAAATGCATAACTGAGCAAAACTCCTTCCACTGCACTGATTTGATGTAGAAAAACACCAGAAGAGCCAATATGTTACATAGAGCATTTTTAATCTGAGATTACACATGGTAATCTCTGGTTTTACATGACATAAATTGATCACTCCAGCATGCACATTGAAGTTTGAAGGTTTTTGTTTCCTGATACTATTCAGTGACCTTGCACTGTACAGGATTTTCTATTTGCATCTTCAATACAAAATTGTCCTGTAGCTCAGTGGTTAGAGCACTCGCTTTGCAAGTGAGAGACCTGAGTTCAATTCCAGGCAGGGCGAAACCTTGGGCAAGTTTCCTTACTCCATACGCCTAATAATAATCCCTCCAAAAAACCAAAAACAATAATTAAATTGGTCATTTTCAATCTGCGACTGTTTGTGGGACATTGCTGTGCGCAATTGGCTGCCGCGTTCGCACAATATACAGTCAATTCACTGTACAGTGTGTTCTGTGAAGCGCTTTGGGACGTCCTCCCGACGTGAAAAGCGCTATATCAAATGCAAGGATTATTATTATTATTATTATTAAAATATTTGTAGCATGATGGAACAGCACATTTAAGTGCAGGATTTATTTGCATATGTAGTTTCCTACAAAATTCCCAATTTACTTGTGCTGTCAAAATAATAATCCTTGTATTTGATTTAGCACCTTATCACATCTTCGAGACATCTTAAAGTACTTCACGGAGTATACTGTAAAGTAAATTGACTATTTTGTGGGCAAAACACAGCAGCCAATTGTGCAAAGAATGTCCCACAAACAGTTGTGGATTGAGTGACCATAAGATCATAAGACGTAGGAGTAGGCCATTCGGCCATCGAGCCTGCCCCGCCATTCAATAAGATCATGGCTGATCTTCTAATCTAATTCCATTTACCCGTCCTATCCCCATATCTCTTAATCCCTCTATCCTTTAGAAATCTTTCAACCTCGGTCTTGAATATGTTCAAGGATTGAGCATCTACAGCCTTCTGGGGTAGAGAATTCCATAAATTCACTACCCTCTGACTGAAGAAATGTTTCCTCAACTCAGTTCAAAAAGGCTGACCCTTAATCTTGAGTCTGTGACCCTTAGTTTTAGATACTCCAACCAAGGGAAACAGTCTCACAGCATCTACCCTGTCAAGACCCTTAAAAATCTTATAGGTTTCTATAAGATCACATCCAATTCTTCTATATTCTAGAGAATATAGGCCTAGATTATTCAACCTATGCTCATAGGTCAACCCCCTCATCCCAGGATCCAACCTAATGAATCTACGTTGGTCCCCTTCTAAAGCGAGTATGTTCTTTCTTAAATAAGGCGACCAAAACTGCACACAATATTCTAGGTCTGGTCTCACCAAGGCCTTATACAACTGCAGCAAGACTTCCCTACTCTTGTACTCTAACCCTTTTGCAACAAACGCCAACATGGCATTAGCCTTCCTAGTTGCTTGCTGTACCTGCATAGTAACTTTTTGTGACTGGTGTACAAGGACACCCAAATCCCTCTGAACACTAACACTATCTAACCTCTCCCCTTCTAGAAAAAATCCGCTTTTCTATTTTTACTACCTAGGTGAATAACTTTACACTTCCCCACATTATACTCCATCTGCCATCTTTTTGCCTACTCACCTAGCCTGTCTATTTCCCTTTGCATTCTTCTTGTGTCATCCTCACAGCTTACTCTCCCACCTATCTTTGTATCGTCTGCGAATTTAGATACGTTGAGTTCTATTTCCTTATCTAAATCATTGATACAGACTGTAAATAATTGAGGCCCAAGCACTGATCCTTGCGGCACTCCAGTAGTCACATCCTGCCAATCTGAGAAGGACCCATTTATCCCTACTCCTTGTTTTCTACCTGTTAGCCACTCTCCAATACATGCTAATATATTACCTTTAATTCCATGGGCTCTAATGTTATGCGACAGCCTTTTATATGGCACCTTGTTGAATGCCTTCTGGAAATCCAAATACACCACATTTACTGGTTTCCCCCCCTATCTAACCTGCTAGTTACAGCCTCAAAAAACTGCCTTTAAGATTTATTAAACATGATTTCCCTTTTGTAAAGCCATATTGACTCTGTCTAATCATGCTATGATTTTCTAAGTACTCCACGACTATGTCCCTAATTAAGGACTCTAGAATTTTCTCTACCACCGATGTCAGACTAATTGGTCTATAGTTCCCCAATTTTTTCTCTCCCACCCTTCTTAAATAGCAGCGTACGTTTGCAATCTTCCAATTAATGGGAACCGTTCCAGAATCCAGGGAATTTTGAAAGATAAAAAACAAAGCATCCACTATCTCTGCAGCCACCTCTTTTAAAACCCTAGGATGGATGCAGATCCAGGGGATTTATTGTTTTTTTTTTAATCCTATCAATTTCTCTAGTACTATTGCTTTACTGATGTAAAGTTCCTATTTATTTCTTCCTATTTATGTAGGAAGAGTAAAAACTCTGACAATCTGTCTTTATGTTCCTAGTTAGTTTACCCTCATATTCCATTTTCTCCCTCTTAATCAGTTTCTTGGTTTTCCTTTGCTGATCTCTAAAGCCCTCCCAATCCTCAGGTTTACTGCTCTGTTTGGCAGTATTATAGGGCTCCTCTTTTAATTTTATACTTTCCCTAACTTCTCTCGTTAGCCAAGGTTGAACCACTTTTCCCGTGGTATTTTTATTTTTTTAAGGGAATATGTGATCGCTGGGAATTATGTATTCTATCTTTAATTGTTTGCCATTGCTGGTCTACCGTCATTTTTTATTCTAATTTCCCAGTCTATTTTAGCAAATCTTCTCTCATATATGCAAAGTTGGCTTTATTTAGATTTAAGACCCTTGCTTCGAATTCAACTATATCACTCTCTAACTTAATGTTAAATTCTATCATGTTATGGTCACTCTGCCCTAGAGGAGCCTTTACTTCCAGATTGCTGATTAGCCCTATTTCATTGCACAAGACAAGATCTAGGATAGTCTGTTCCCTGGTTGGCATACTGTTCTAGAAAACTATCTCTAATGCATTCTATAAACTCATCCTCTAATTTACTTTTGCCAATTTGGTTTTCCCAGTGTATATGAAGATTGAAATCACCCACTATTAGTGTATTCCCTTTGCTACATGCTCCTCTAATTTCCTGATTAATACCCTGCTCAATACTGTAACCTTTGTTTGGGGGTCTATACTCTACTCCCACTATTTTTTTCTGCCTTGTTGTTTCTTACCTCCACACATACTGATTCTACATTCTGATTTTCTGATTTAAAATCCTTCCTCTCTACTGTTTTTATCTCATCCTTTATTAGCAGGGACACCCCCCACCTTGTTTTCCACATTGCCCACCTTTCCTATACGTTGAATACCCTGGAATTGACCAAATTATTATTTTTAAGAGGATTATTATTCCCTGGAATAGCGATCTGCCAATCAACTAACAATCGGGTTCCTACTCACTACTAGATAACAACAACAAGATTTCATTTATAGAGCGCCTTTCACGTCGGGAGGACGTCCCAAGGCACTGGACAGTTGGGTCGGGACCTGAGCAGGGGGGAAATGGTCAAGGTGAGGGAAGGGAGGGAATGAGGAGGGGGTAGAGAGTCGAGAGGGGAGCTGAAGGCACGGTCAAAGAGAAAGGTCTTGAGACCGGCCTTGAAGGAGGAAAGGGAGGAAGCGGCGAAGGCACTGGGGGATGGAGTTCCAGAGCCTGGGGGCTGAGAGGCTGAAGGCCTGGCCACCGATGTTAGGGCGGGGGATGTGGAGCAGACCGGAGCCAGAGGAACGGAGGGTACGGGCAGGTATGTAGGGGGATAGTAGGTAGGAGAGAGCAAGGCCGTGAATGGCCTTGTAGGTGAGGATGAGAATCTTGAATTTGAGGCATATTCAATTCGAGGCGTATTCATAACAGAGGCGTATGGAGCAAGGAAACTTGCCTAACCTTTTGCCCTGCTGGGAATCGAATCCAGGTCCTCCTGCTTGCGAGGTGAGGGCTCTAGCCACTAAACTACAGGACTCCACTTATAAAAAGCTGGATCCTTAACCGTTAAGGAAATGGAGGGGTAATGCTACGCATCCTGCTGTCCCCCTAGTTATACACTCTGATATTGGGACAGGTGTTGGAACTAGTTTGCTCTGGATTAGCTAGAATAATCCTATACATGAAAATTTGCAATTTTTTACCTTGCATACTGAACCTTTATTGCTATTCTCTTCATTTTTCTAGGGAAATGGTTCTACAGAAAATGACTGGTTGTTGTAGGAAAGGATCTGGTGTTTCATACAAGTATACGAAGGTAAGGCCCCACTGAATAATTCAATGGTTGTTGTTGAAAAATTACTCTGCTAACCTAATTCCAGAGAATATTACATACAGAGGGAGAGTTGAGGCTTTGGGACCTCAAAGTGTTCTGTCTTGTCAGAGGCAAGAGGAAGGAATCCTCAGCTCCAGTCTGCCCCTCCAAGTTATTCCAGACAGAGCCAAGAATCTGGTCTTCCATCAGCTGTGCCCTGAAATACTGTGGACCTGCCTGGCTCAGGCACCTGACATCAAGGCATTATAGAGGGTTGACCTGATTGATATTCCATTATTTGAAGCCAACTCAACTCCAAGCAGACCCTGGTTACCTTCTCCCACCCCTCCCCAGGAGGATAGTTATCTGACATCCAACCAGGGGAGTCTGGAGCCCTCACTAAGTGGATTGTTCACACCAAGAAGTTCCTGCAAACTTCCTGGTGAACAGTGCCACTTAGCATAAAATGTGTGAGAATTGCGCCATTCTCCTGCCCCCAGCTGAAACACATCCCTTCCCACTGAGCAATGTTTCCACCAGTTGGAGGTGTAGATCTTGAGCAGCAGTTGCTTACCTCTCTGTAAACCAATCATGGTGGATACCAAAACTGTGCAACTACAAGAATGCATTTACATATCTGCACAGAAGGCCACAAAATGCATTGCTGCTGATACCAACTGAAGAATTAATGTCAGCTTGGCTCAGTTGTAGCACTCAGCTCCTGAATCAGAAGGTTATGGGTTCAAGCCCCACATTGGGATTTGGAATTACAAAGTCTCAGCTGAGGTGTGCTGCATTGTTGAAGGAGCTGTACTTTGGATAAGATCTTAAGCCAAGATCCTGTCTGCCCGTTCAGGTGGACGTTAAAGATCCCATAGCATTATTTGAAAAGAGAAGGAAATATCAGCTGTTGTCCTGGCCAACAATCCCTCAAATAAAATTGGTCACTCATTTCATGGCTGTTTGTGAGACATTGCTGTGCACAACTGGCTCCTGTGTTTCAGTCACAACAGTCAATCCCTTTTACAGTATATCTTGTGAAACATTTTGAGAAATCTCAACATATGGTGCTATATGACTTTCCTTTTCAACTGTGCCTTCGGTCATTTTTCCTCCTCCACTCCCTTTGCTTTCCACCCCTCTCTGATCCCAATCCACAGCTCAGTTCCCATTTGTGGAACTCTGATTCCTTATGAAGGATTCCGTTGAGAATTCTTGTAAATTGGAGATCTATATTCAGTACGAGTCAAACATGTAATTGTTGTTCTGCAGGACGGTTGGATGGGGTTTTGAGCGCACAAGTTACCACTTGATCAGATTCCTGATGTTCTTCTTTATTATTTAAAGTCAGAACTCTGACTGAAGTATTTATTAGATTAAAAGGCCAGTTAAGAGATTAAATGAGTTCAGGAGAAAATCGTGTTATTTCTGGTGCAGAATCCATACGCAGCACACTATACGGGAGAAGATGCATCAATTTTCAGTTAAGATTGTCAGACTAATTCCTTACTGAAATGAAAACCAAAATGTTCTTTATTGAAATTTCTCAGATTAATGGAGAAGAGGAGGGGGATGATAATGAGACTGAATGGCTTATGGAAGAAACTACGTCATCTGAGAATGGACAGATGTCAGCAAAGGAAAGTCATGGAAATGGTCTGAACCATGTCACCACAAAAACTGTGAATGCTGATGTCTTGGGATCATTTGCATTAGATGATCAGGACAGTGAAGATGAAGTCTTGACAGTCCCCCAAGTGAAAATCAACTCCACCAGGACGCAAGAGTCCAAGAATGCAAGCAGTCCTTGGCATGGGCAAAGGAAGTCATTCCACAATGGGAGTGATGAAGATTTGATTGAGTTACATAAAGAAAGGAAGGAGAGCAAGAAAAAAAGCAAAACTAATCAACAAAAAAAAATGAATGGCAAGGCAAACAACTCAGCAAATTTCACTTCGTTTCATGACGACAGTGACGAAGACATGCTGAACGTTTAACTCTTGTGCCTGTCTCCTGGTGAGCCAGATGGGACGCCCAGCCCTGTAGATTGGGAGGAAATCTGCCTGTCATGCACTCTGCTGAATGTTTGGACTTGATTTCTGCAAGTTATACGAGAGAAGGGACCTGCATAAACACTCCTGATTGTTTACAATGATGTGTAAAGACAAATTTTTTGCTGAATTCTTAGCAGTTGCCTAAAGGATATTTAAAAAAAAGCTTGTGCACATGACCATTTCTTTGGGGACAATATTTGTTGACTCCCAAGTTTTGCAAAGAGCTCTGCCACGGTTTCTTTAACTTTGTTCAAACTGTTTTTTTCCAAGAGGAGGGGAGGAAAGTTGAGTAAAAAGAATGTGTTACTGTACAGCCGAGTATGTTCGATTTAGCTTCCATGAAGCACTGCCCCCATAAGTTATTTATTGGAAATAAAATAATTAGCGCAGGTTAATGGATACTGATCCTTTGATCTTCCTCCCAGATGAGAAATGGTATTATTATAATGTGATGTAGGGAAGTACCAAAGATTTGGATCTGATCAGCCTTTGGGGGGGCGTTATGTTTACCTTTGTTTTCCTAATCAATTTTGGGGGAAAGGAAACGATAGACCAAATATTAGTAATTTGCACTATTTCAGTGAAAATATTATTATGTGCAGGTATATAAGCCAGCAGGAATGAGGTATCTGTCAGATCCAGGCCTTTTGCACAGCCCTCTGCCAACTGTGCTCAAAATTATTATTCGCCATACTTTGATGGGTTGGTGCCAAAGTGTGGGTAGAAATGTGTTGGGCAGATGTTTTGCTGACTTTTTGTATGTACTTCTGGTTTGGGTTCAGAGACTCTTTTTATTCGTCAATCAAAGGTTTGTGATTTTTGTTTCCTACTTCCAGTTTGATAATTCTGTTGTAATGTACATTTCAATAAAAGATGAAATAACCCCATTTTAGTTCTGCTCCATGTAACATTTTTACATGTAAAATTGTCTGGTCATTTTGTCAGCAAAATAAAATATTGCCTTTTCTTGTCATTCAAAAGCATAAGTAGTCAAAATGCTGGATTTGTAATATCAGCTGATGTGTATTGTAAGGTTTGCTGTGAGTTAGTTATTCATGTTACTTTAGTTTTAAAAGCAATTGAATCAACAATTGTGGTCATCCACCTCATGGCTGCTTTTGCAACATTTGTGATGCAAGTGTTTGCCTACAAACAATAGTCATGGTAATTGTCAGCAAAGCCCTTAGCGATATTTAGGTATAAGGCACTCTAATAATGCCAGTTCTCACCCTACGTTTTGGTTTCACTAGTTGAATCTGAAGGTTAAAGGTCTACTTAATTTCACTTAAAAATGTTATACCTCTGAATTGTAAAAATTTTGGAAGCAATTATTACACCTGGAAAAGTGATCCACCAATCAACCAGCAACTGGGTTCCTACTTACTGCTGGGTAAACACAGGCATGTGGAGTAAGAAAACTTGCCCAAAGTTTTGCCGAATTGAACTGAGGTCCTCTCGCTTGTGAGGCGAGTGCTCTAAACACTAAGCTACAGAAATCCACAAATTCTTGTCAGTTATTGGTATAAATTGAGAATTATCACAAGAAAAATCAGTTTAGAAGATCCTTCATAAACAGCAGATTGTTAGAAATGTGGAATGCCTTATCACAAGTAGCCATCCAAGCAGAGTCCATAAATGGTATTTTTTAAAATTTGGATAAATACATGAATTTCTTTAAAGGCTGTGGTAAAAGAGTAAACTAATTCATTGTGACCTAACACGAGACACAGTGAACAGCAGGGCTTTTTTCTGTCCTATGACTACTCAAAGATTCTATGATTCAATGAAAGTAAATTTAAACTAACAAGTAAATTAATACTGTAATAATGTTTTGTAACCTCGCCTCAATTTACCTAGCAGTAAGTAGGAGCCCAGTTGTTAGTCGATTGATGGATCACTTTTCCGGGAGTAATAATTCCTTCAAAAAATTTTAAAAATGATAAATTGGTCACTCAATCTAGGACCGTTTGTAGGATGTTGCTGTGCATAATTGGCTGCCATGTTTTGCCTACAAAATATACAGTCAATTCACTTTACAGTATACTCTGAATATTGAGATGTCTCAGACGTGATAAGACGCTGTATCAAATGCAAGGATTAGCGTTGGGATTGAATACAATATAGGGTTATTGAATTATGAGGCTCATGTAAACTGATTAATTTATTAACTTTATTTAAACACTTGCACATAGTTTTGCAGAACTTTGGTCTACTGTTTGTTTGCTGGAATACAGAGCTGTTAGTAGTCTGCAGCTATAAGTATCTGTGCGCAGATTAGACATTCTTTTAGAAGTAACTTGCTGTTTCACCTTGAGTGTGGAAGAAAGCTTCCTCAGCCATGCCAACTTTTGACAATGTCCTTGAGGAAATTGGAGGATTTGGACTTTTATCAAAAAACTTTTTTTTCTTTTATGTCCACTATCAGTATTGTTTTCCTACGTGTATGTTGGATTTGTTTTTCTGATAGTCAGGTCAGATCACTGGTGGCTGAGTCCTGGAGTGACCGAACTGAGCAATAAGTGTAACTGGTCTCCAGAAGTGGAGAAGAATTACACAATTCCCCTAAGCAGGAATGATCGATCCTCATACAGTCAGTGTGAGAGATATGATATTGACTGGAATGCTTCTTCCGTGAGCTGTGACAATCCACTGCCATTTGTGCAAAATAGCTCCAGAGCTCTGCCGCTCACTGGGTGCCAGGATGGGTGGGTGTTGGCTCGTTCTTCAGCATTGTGACAGAGGTAAGGTTTGGGATTGGAGACCAGATTTGTTTTCTTTTGGGTGGAACAATATTCTGAAGCTGCACCATAGGTGGTCGGTGGCTAGGACTAGAGTGAGCTTAGCTTGCCCCCTTCCAAATCTAACTGCAGCTCACCTCTAACAGGAGCTCCTTCACCTTGGGTCTTGGCAAAAACATCCTCAATCATCTTTGAGGGGATCTGGGAAGGGGAAGCCCTGAGGAGGACCACAGACAGTCCTCTGAATAGCCCTCACCTCCGGCACCCATGCCCCCCCCACCCCCTACTTGCTCCTCTCCCAACTCATCAACAGTGCCCGTCCACTTCCAGTCAAGCCGATGGCTTGCCTGTCTTAAAGGGGACTGATCCTTTTAATTGAGTTTCACTCAGCCCTGCCCAAAATGAATATTTTCTCCTGCTGCCTATCAACTCTGCATGGCTACCTTTGGAGATCAGACCACGCCAGCTTGCCATGTATATAGTGCTCTTTGTTGGAAAACATCTTGGAGCACTTTACATGATGGGATCGGACGCTGAGCAAGGGGGAAGGAGGAGCTGACCCTAAATGCAGATGAAGTTTTAAGGCAACATTCAAAAATATAAAGAAGGGTAGTCAAAGGTAGTCAAAGGTTCCAGAGATAACAAACATAATAGCTGAAGGCTCGGTCATGTGGGAGGTGCAGTAAGGTGAGCAGAGACTGAGAGCAGAGGAGTGGAACATGGGATCTTATTAAGTCTCGCGTCTTATTCATAGAAAGTCACCTCCAACAATGTAGAGCTTCCCTCTCAATGCATTAGAATGTCAGCATAGACTAAGCTAATACTGTATTGGGTGTTAGATTGGGAACCTGGTGTGATAACTGCAAAGTATTTTGCAGCCAAATGTGAGAGTTGGTATGGATAATTGACTGTAAATTAGTATCTGGTGTGATTCGCTTTGAGAATGATTTAGATTATCTTTCCAATCTACCTCTCATTTTTTCTACAGATATTTAAAATATTAACACCCCTTTTGTTTTTGTAGGCAAATTCAGAGAGACAAATCCAGGTGGACTTAATGTTTTTGTTTAAAAAAAAAGCTATATTTGACAATATCCCGATATCAAATCATTTTTATGCAAACGGACAAAGCCTGAACTGGAAATCATTTGAACACCACTATCAATTTTATGACCTGTAGCAGATACAGCAATAACCAGCAAAGCATTCAGTCTAACAGCTGCAGAATTTCATTGCCATGCTTATGAGAACCCAAACCAGAGCTCTTTGCTATGGAAGTCTAATAGCGTCCTCTGGAGGTTTGATGGCAAATCACCACAATGGAGCCTGGTATATCATCAGTGTGCAGTCAGAACAGTCCATCTTATAGTATTAGATCAATCCAATGCATTGTACTGTTGCAGTTTTGTCTTCTGTAGACTTTATCACTGCTGTGTGCAACTGGCTGCCAACTTTCACCCAGAAAATACACAGTAAATGCACTTTCAGTATATCCTGTGAAGCGCTTTGAGATGTCTCAACGATGTGATAAGGTGCTGTATCAAATGCAAGGGCTATTATTATTCTTTATTATTATGACCAGGTTTAAGAGACCTAAATACAATGTTAATTTTATCAGTAATTATAAATGTTATAATATTGAGTGAGCAATCTTATGTTCAATTATGTACAAAGACTTAGCCCTTCAAGATTACAGAATTTAATCTTGTGTTGCGATTGTATTTGGTATGGTTTGCCTATGAAAACGTCACAATAGCACGAGTTATAATTATTAGATAATATTCATTTTATTTAATAAGTATCATCATGCTGATCAATATATCCTGTCAAGTGGAGTCCTGTAGCTCAGTGGTTAGAGCACTCGCTTTGCAAGCGAGAGACCTGTGTTCAATTCCAGGCAGAGGGCGAAACCTTGGGCAAGTTTCCTTACTCCACACAGAGCCTCATAATAATCCCTCCAAAACAAAAAACAATAATAAATTGGTCATTTTCAATCTACGACTGTTTGTGGGACATTGCTGTGCGCAATTGGCTGCCGCGTTCGCCCACAAATATACAGTCAATTCACTTTACAGTGTGTTTTGTGAAGCGCTTTGGGACGTCCTCCCGACGTGAAAAGCGCTATATCAAATGCAAGGATTATTATTATAATTATTAAGTGCTTTGAGATGTTCTCTTGACTTGAAAGACACAATGCCAAATGCAATGATTCCAATTTAGTTTCCTGAGGCATTGCTAACTTCAATATTATAGAATGATGCATAAGATTTGGTCTAAGTGTGATTATATTCATATTTACGAATATGAAACTACCTATTAATATTATATCTCTAACCACACCACTCTTACAGTTTGAACTTGTGTGTGCTGATTCCCGAAAAGTGGACCTGTCTCAAGCTTGCCAATATGGTGGATTTTTGCTCGGAACAATACTCCTGGGCTTTGCAGCTGACATGTTTGTAAAATTCTCAGGTCATTCGTTAGTTTTCAAGTGAAGATTTGATTATTAGAATGCATTGCTTATCTAATATCCTTGTACTTATTTGTAGGTTTGGCAGAAAACAGGGCTGCTTAATTGCAACATTCGTGACCACAGTGCTCTGTGTTTTGCTGGCGTTTTCACCAAATTATGTGTGTCTTTCGATATTCCGTGCTTTCCAAGGCTTCTTCAGTAAGGGAAGCTGGCTCTGTGCCTATGTCCTGGGTAAGAATGATACTGACACCTGTAGTGATAATCAACATTCTTGTCCCCATACAGTTAACAGTCACAGTTGTCTGCATCAAATGTTCTTCATACTGTAGAATCCGTTATAATTATTAGCCAATATTCATTACCATACTGTAAGTGTGCAAATTTAATAGTCATTTATCCCTTGATTCCCTCCTTCCTGCCACAATATAGGTCATGAAATAGGATAAACCCATCTGGCACACTTACAAGTCATGTCTGTTAGATAAGAAAATAAGGCTACTGAAGTGGACGTTTTGGTGAAAAATATTTGGAAAGCAAGTTAAGTGGAGACGGTAGATTAGTGGTTAAAGCATTTGCCTCGCAAGCGAGAGGACCTGGGTTTGATTCCCGGGCAGGGCAAAATGCTAGGCAAATTTTCTTACTCTACACGCCTCTGTTTACCTAGCAGTAAATAGAAACCAGGTTGTTAGTCGATCGGCAGATCGTTTTTCCAGGGGTAATAATTCTCTCAGAGAAAAATTAGAATAAATTGGTCACTCAATCCACAATGATT